TGATCCACCTGCCTTGGCCTCCCAAAGTGCTGGGATTACAGGCATGAGCTACCATGCCCTGCTTGTTATTAAAGTTTTTAACAAGCCAGTATTGAGACAAAATAAACACTTTGCAACAACTGCAGGTAACACCATTTCCAAGATACTGTTTGGGTTCTGAAAAGTGGTTTCCAGAACCTCCCTTTTACCTACTCCAGCTCTGTGGGGGGCCCCTGGGTCTCGGAGAGCGGAGGCCATGGCTGGGAAGGTGGGCCAAGGTCTCAGGCCCCGCAGCCTCCCTCTCTCCCTTTCTGTTCTTTCTTTTGGAGAGGGCTGGTCCTCTTGGGGTTCCCATTCCAGCAGAACCTCCCAGCACAGGTCCCTTCAGCCTCAGGCCCAGCTCTGGTGCCACCATCCCAATGGGGGACCACAGCTCTGGGGTCCCCAATGGAAATAGGGGAGGTCTTTCTCAGACTAACTCAAGAGCTGTCTTGCTAACTACACAGGACCTGCTAAAACCAAAATGAGCCAAGATTCCAGTTCTGTGCAGAGATGGCCGGAGCATCCCGCCCACTGGCCTTCACTGGTCTGAGAGGTCGTGGGGCACACTGGTCCTAGGATGGCTCAACCTGGCTCTCAGACACCGGCCATGGGCGGTGGGCATGGGGCTGGGGGGTCAGGGACTGGTGCTCCCACCCTGGGTCACCCCATGACCTTTGGAGGGTGGGAGAGCTCTGGGCTGCACGAGCATGGGGAGCTGTGGCTAGCGGGCAGGGCTGAGTCCCTGCTGGACCGGGGGTAGAGGAACCATCCAGGAGGGAAGCAAGAGAGGCCAGGTCAGGCCAGGCCTGGTGGGGGCCACTGCGGGTGACTGCAGGCCCTGAGCTTTGGTGTGGCAGCCCCTGCCTGAGAGCTTCGTTTCCAGGCCCGTGCATAGTCTGGGTCTCCACCACCGGGGATCTCCCTGGAAGACCCCCCTCCATCACAGCTGTCCAGAGAAAACTGCTGCTACTCACATCGCACAGGCCTCTCCCCAGGACCCTCTGCCCCCTAGGGCTGCGACCACACAGGTGTGGGCTGGCCCCCAGCGAGGCCTCGGAGACGGACACGGGGAGCATCGCGGCGCCTTCCTCCAGTGCCAAAGCTCAGGGGGCTCCTCTGTGCGGCCACCTCTGCGGGGCAGATCTGCAGCTTAGCATCCAGGTCCCAGCCGGATGGGGCACGGGGTGGCTGCAGCGCCACCCAGCTGGTGTCATGGGGGTTCTGTGGGTAACAGGGTTTGCTGCTCCAATGTGGAACAAGAGCGTCTGCCTCATAGCGGGTGCACGTGTGGCACACAAGCTCTCGTGTGACTTACCTCGCAGTGTGGAAAACAGTCTCTGTATGTCACAGGCACACAGAACCCACGTTCACCCATCGTTTTGTAACTGAATTCTGGACCTAGGCCCCCGGTGCTCAATTCGGGCTCAGCCAAGGTGCTAGGGCACCTTGGGGATGGGGCTGAGGCATGGGTGAGAGCTGCGGAGCTCACCACCCGGCATGGCTCAGGCAGCTTGGAAGGAGGCACTGGCTGGGCCCAGAGGGTTCTGGTGAGGGCTAGAGCTCACTGCAGGCACCCCAGCCTTGTCCGCAGAGTCCCAGGCTAGCTCCTCCTGGGGCTTGGTTTAGAAACCACCTCACTGACCACCAGCCCTGAGCACTAGGATGGTGGGGTCCTACACCTGCTGAGTGGGGGAGGAAATCACACACCTTCCCGGCTCCCAGCATTAAGGTGTGGGCACGGGGGCTCTCTATACCCTCCCTGGGGGGAGTCCCAGTGCTGAGGTGGGCAGGGAGGATCCCACACACTCCCTGGGAAGTCCTGGTGCTGAGGTGTGTGTAGGGAGGATCCCACACTCTCCCTGGGGAGTTTGGGTGCTGAGGTGGGCAGGGAGGATCCCACACCCTCACTGGGGGGTCCTGGTGCTGAGGCGTGGGTGGGAGCTGTGGAGCCCACCACCCAGCATTGCTCGGGCAGCTTGGAAGGAGGCACTGGTGGTCGAGGTGCGGGGGCCGCTGTGGAACTACGGCCATGAGCCCCTCCCGGGCAGAGAGCAACTCTGGGAGGAGCTGGGGTCAGGCTGGGGCTCGGGGCTGTCTCACAACGTGCTCAGCGATGTCTCTGGGCTGGTGTCACTGCAGATAGGGATGCATTGGGGCTGTCCCCATGGCCCCTGTGGGCCCCCCAGCTCCCAGCACCCCCAGTACTGGGTGGAGGTGGTCTTGCATGGGGGCGGGCAGTGACCCTGAGGAACATAGTGGCTGCCTCTCTGCTTCTCAGCACCAGCTTCGGCTCATGGCCCGAAACCCTGTGGAGAAACGTTTCTTGTCTAAATGAAACCTTCATGTCCATTGGTGAAGCCCTTGGGGCCTGATTCAGACACAAGCACCACTCTACTTAGAAACAGGTGTTTCTTTTGGAAACCAGAGCCAAATCCCAGTGTGGAAAGACGGCCGGAGAGAGAGGTGCTCAGGTCCAGCCGGTGTGGACGTAACTCAGCGTGGACTTTTACTGCCAGCAGGAAGCCTCCATCTCACACTGGGACTGGCTCCGGGGCAGTTTGGACATGCAGTGAAACTCAGAAAACAGAAAACGGCTTCTCCGAGAAAACACCAAATGGCGGATGACACCGGTGCAGTGGTGGGGCCCAGGGATGGGGAACCACGGTGGCTTCCACGGAGGTTTCAGCAGTGGCATCCAGGGCCAGGGTCACGGCCATGCTGAGGCTGAGGCCACGGAGCTCATGGAGGCAACGCCGAGGATAAGGAGGGGGCGCTCGTCACCAAGCTGGGCTGCCTGGTGAAGGATGAAGATCAAGTCCCTGGAGGAGGTCTATCTCTTCTCTCTGCCCATCAAGGAATCTGAGATCACTGACTTTCTCCTGGAGGCCTCTCTCAAGGATGAGGTTTTGAAGATGATGCCGGTGCCGAAGAAGACCCAGGTGGCCAGTGCACTAGGTTCAAGGCGTTTGCTGCCATTGGGGACTACAATGGCCACGTCGGTCTGGGTGTTAAGTGCTCCAAGGAGGTGGCCACTGCCATCTGCAAGGCCATCACCCTGGCCAAGCTCTCCATTGTTCCTGTGCGCAGAGGCTACTGGGGGAACAAGATCAGCAAGCCCCACACTGTCCCTTGCAAGGTGACAGGCCACTGCAGATCTGTGCTGGTGCGCCTCATCCCTGCGCCCAGGGGCGCTGGCATTGTCTCGGCGCCTGTGCCCAAGAAACTGTTCATGATGGCTGGTATCAATGACTGCCACACCTCAGCCAGGGGCTGCACTGCCACCCGACAATGCCACCTTTGATGCCATCTCTAAGACTTACAGCTACCTGACCCCTAACCTCTGGAAGGAGACTATTCACCAAGTCTCCCTATCAGGAATTCACTGACCACCACTTCAAGACCCACACCAGAGTCTCCGTGCAGAGGACGCAGGCACCAGCTGTGGCTACAACATAGAGTTTTTATACAAGAAAAATATAAGCGTTAACCCTGAAAAAACAAAACAAAACAGAAAATGAGGCCAAAGAGCCCGTGGGTTAAACAAAAAGCAGGAACAAGACGGCCTCCCAGGGCTGGACACCTCCTTCCCCACAGGCGCCTCAGTTCTGCGGGGATGCATCCCACAGCCCGACTGATTGTGTGGCTCCTGTGGGACTGGCGTGGCTCCATTCCCACATCCAGGCTCCATGCTACCAGGAGAGAGACCCATCTCTAGATGACTAGAGGCTTGTGCCAGCCTAGATGGGAGGCACCAAGGTCCTGGGAGGCCCAAGGACATGTTCAGGATGGTGCAGTCACTCATGCTGGCCCCGGTGTAGCCCCCACATGGCTCCCCAGTGGGTTGGCCATGGGGATGAGCTGTGCCCACGCATCTGGCTCTGCCCCTGCACACCCGGGGCCCCCAGCAGCCTCCACGTTCACAGCCTCTGACAGGGCTTAGATGCCTTCTGATTCAAGGCAACACTCTTGAAGTGGTTTTCATGGGGGCAGTGGCATTTGGGTTCCTGAGGGCACCTGTCCCAGGCAGTGCCAGAGTGTGGCTAGAGCCGCGTGAGGGTGAGTGTCCACGCTCAGGATGTAGAGGTAACCGACTTCTGTGCGCACAGCCCCTGCCTCCCGGGAAGTGCTGTGCGCCTGCTTGTGCTTTTTAAAAATACTGCTTTGTTGGGATTTAGGTGACATACTATGAACTGCACATCTTTAAAGCATGTAGTTTGACGACCTTGGAGCCAAGAACACACCCGTGAAGTTACTCCTGCATTCACACAACCCAGAGAGCAGGGCTGTCTGTGGCTCACCGGCTTCCTGCGCCCTGCTCGTGGTACTGGGACGACCGCTGCTTCCATCTCTCACCACATGTTTTCTGTGTCACCCCCCTGCCACTTTCCCTTTCCCTTTTTCTACAAATTTTTAGACTGGATTTTGTTTTTAGACGGAGTCTTGCTCTGTCATCCAGGCGGAGTGCAGTGGCGTGATCTTGGCTCACTGCAACCTCCGCCTCCCGGATTCTTGCAATTCTCCTGCCTCAGACTCCCAAGGAGCTGAGACTACAGGCACGTGCTGCCACGCCTGGCTAAATTTTTGTATTTTAGTAGAGACGGGGTTTTAGTGTGTTGCCCAGGCTGGTCTCGAACTCCTGAGCTCTGGCATTCCGCCTGCCTCAGCCTCCCAAAGTGCTGGGATGACAGGCCTGAGCCACCGAGCCCAGCCTGGACTGGATTTCTAAAAATTCAATTTTATCTCCTCTGATGGTTTATTAGCTGTGATTGTTTTGTTATTTTAGTGATTGTTTCAAGGGTTTCTAAGTATGTCTTTAGCTTACCACAATCTACCTTCAAGTGATACCACCTCACTTCACATATCATATCCAACTTCTCCCAGCCTTCATGCTACTGTGGCCACACAGCTCACCTAGACGTAGAGTACAAACCGAAGATACATTAATATTTTTGTTTAGACAGTTAACTTTTATTTTTTTAATAGAGATGCAGTCTTGCTATGTTTCCCATGATAATCCCCAATTCTTGGGCTCAAGTGATCCTCTGGCCTCAGCCTCCCAAAGTGCTGGGATTAGAGACAGGAGACACCAAACCTGGCCAAGCCACTAATCTTTTAACCCATTTCCCATTCAGAAAAAAAGCGCAGCTCACTTCCAGTGCTCATTTCTTGGGGCAAATGGGAGATGTGTTAAAGAGAGTTAAATAATAAGAGGGAAATCTTGTCTCGTGCACAGGCTCTTCATTTTTCTTTTCCTGAAGCACATCCTTTAACGTTTCTTGCAGTGCAGGTCTGCGGGTGACGTATTATGTTAGCTTCTGTGTGTATGCAAATGTCTTTACTTCACCATTCTTTTGGAAAGATTTTGTCAGGCACAGAATTTGAGTTTGGCAGTTTTCTACCTAGTACATTGCACCGCCTCACCCATGCTGCTCCCGAGAAGTTGGCTGTCCTCATCAGCTTCGTGCCTCCCAACAAAATGTGCCCTTGTCCTCTGATTGCTAAGGATTTTCTGCTTATCTCTGGTTCTATGCAGTTTGATTATGATGTGCATTCATGTCTCTTGTGTTTGGAGTTCACTGCATCTACAGGACTCCAGACTTACACCAGTGGCTCCATGTTCTCAGGCCTTTGGCCTCTGAGTCACACCACTGGCTTCCCTGGCTCTGGGACTTTAGGACTTGGACTGAGCCACACCAGCAGCTTCCTTGGGTCTCCAGCTCGTGGGTGGCCTGTGGGGCTTTTTACCTGCCACAATTGTGTCAGCTGACCCCCCAAGGCCCCTTTCATCTGTCTGTTGGTCTGTCCACCTATCTATTGATCTATCTGTCTCTCTCTATATATATATATGTATATGGCTATCTCCTATTGCTTCTGTCTCTCTGGGAGACCTGACTAATGCAACCAGCTTCCACTGATGCATCTTCAAGCTGCCTGTCTCTCTCTCTATATATATATGTATATGGCTATCTCCTATTGCTTCTGTCTCTCTGGGAGACCTGACTAATGCAACCAGCTTCCACTGATGCATCTTCAAGCTGCCTCACAGTCTCTTCTGTGAAATCCAGCCAGTTCCCCCATCCAGGGTAGTTTTCACTGTCAATATTGTGGGTTCTCATCCCCGTAAGGTCAGTCTGGGTCTTCTTGGTCTCTTCCATGCGATTTCTGAACTTTTTGGATGTCTGGGATGCAAGTTCAGCCACGGTTTGAGTTCTGTAGTTCCCACACCGATGCCAGCTCTGGGCGGTCGGCTTGCCTGGCGGTTACTCTCCCCGGCATGTCTGTGCTTCATGCACCTCCGCAAGCTGTCAACTCTGAGGTCCGGCACCGTGAGTTTACCTTGCAGGATGCAGACACTTTAGTAACTACAGATCATCTCGAGCTTTGTTCAGGGACGGAGTGAATTATCTGCAAAAGTTTGATCATTTTCAGTCTTGCTTTTATGATTTTGGAGGTAGGTCAGTAGCAGGACTCATTCTAGGGCTAATTATCCCCACTCCTGAGGCACGACCTTCTGAGAACTCCACCTAATGCTCACAGACTGGCTGGTGGGAATGGGTCCTGTCCCCAGCCCACGTGAGCACCAGGGACTGATCTTTAGTCAAAGGTTTCTCCCAGCCTGGTAGCCTCCCTGCTGGAGGGGCTGATCGGGTGAGTCCTTCCCCAGCGGGCATCTCTCTCTGATCTCAAACGCCTGCCGATATGGCTTCTTCAACTCATGGAGGCTGCTGGGCTCTTCCTGGGCTCTCCCTGCACTGAGCCTGGAAGCTCTCAGGGCGGAGGTCGGGGACATCACCAGGATCACCTGCTGTTCTCCTGTCTGTCAGGGATCACGGTCCTTTGTTGCCGAATGTCTGTCTTGACATCTTCTGTTTCATGTTTTGTCTGTTTCTTGTGTTGTTCTAGGTCTATTTCCTATAATGTTGTCTTGGGTGGAAATGGAAACCTTGTTTTTTAAGTAAAACTTTAAATTTGTTTGAAAATATTTGGGAGTATCTAAAATCCTGGGAAACACCTGGACACGTGCCCTATTGCTCCCTGTGTATCGTTCTGGCCACTGATGGGCATCTGTACCCCAACAGCTGTCAGGCCTTGTGTGCCCGGCTCAGTGGCACAGCGGGAGCCCCTCACGCACCACAGCCTGGGTGCCCGTCTCCAGCTCTGGCTCCGGCTCATCTTCCTCAACGCAGGCTCTGATGTCAGATGACCAGGGGCTGTGGGCAGGACTCCACAGGCCCGGGTGGGCTGGGCTCGTGGACACAAGCAGGCCTGGCGACCCCAGGATGGAGGCCTGGCTGCTGGAGGAGGAGTTGCTGCTGTCCGAGATGGTGGAGTGTGGCCGCTTGAAGGGGGTGGCGTGGTCGAAGGAGGGCACCGCTGTGGACCCTCTCGCTTGTGACTCTGGAAAGGCACAGAAAGCAGGTCAGGCCGGCTTCCTCTCCAGAAGTGCCGCCAGGTTCAGGAATGGGATCAGAGCCGTCTGGAAGGCTGACCAGGCTTTGCTCCCAAAGACGTGCCCGTCCACCCACCACATCGGCCACAGGTCCCATGCGCTCTGCAGGGTGAGTGAAGGCGGGGCTGAGGTCACGTTACCTGTGCCTTGGATGGTGCAGCCGAGGGCCCAGCCACTGATCACTGCGCTGCTGGGCTGGATGTCCAGGAATGGCTTGTTGCCTATCCCCATGGATGCCATTTCTTGGATCCTGAGTTCTAAGACAGAGGAAAGTATGACCATTTCCAAAGCAACTCGGGGGCTCATGCCAACCCGAAGATTCCCTGTTACGCCCTAATGCCCTCAGCCCAAACCTGGCGGTGTACAGGGCCTACCCACCCACCTCCAAGGGCACAGGGGCCAGGGCGCTGGGGTTTCCCATTCTGGTTTTCAGCATCATAGAGATCTCTTCCCAGGGCCCAGGGCATAAGCAAGAAAAAGGAGGCCTTGAGGCCTTGGAAACAGCGTGTCCAGCCTGGCAGGGAGAGAGGTCCCTGTCTGTGGTAAGCAGGGGAGGCCACGCAGGGTCCCTGTCTGTGGTAAGCAGGGGAGGCCACGCAGGGTCCCTGTCTGTGGTAAGCAGGGGAGGCCACCCAGGGTCCCTGTCTGCTGGTAGTCGGGGGAGGCCACACAGGCTCCCTGTCTGCTGGTAGTCGGGGGAGGCCACGCAGGCTCCCTGTCTGCTGGTAGTCGGGGGAGGCCACGCAGGGTCCCTGTCTGCTGGTAAGCGGGGGAGGCCACGCAGGGTCCCTGTCTGCTGGTAAGCGGGGGAGGCCACGCAGGGTCCCTGTCTGCTGGTAAGCGGGGGAGGCCACGCAGGGTCCCTGTCTGCTGGTAAGCGGGGGAGGCCACACAGGGTCCCAATTAGAGCAGGGGTCAGAGGCCTGGGAGCCATGTCCATGGGAAAGACAAAAGCAACAAGTGCCTACGAGTTTGACTATTGAGAGGAGAGCTAAGTATAAGGTGAGAGTTTGGGAATGAATTTATCCTTGGTCAAATTAAGCAAAAAAAGATGATATTAATTGTAAGGAAAAATGTATGAGGGCAGAAAACATAATTGCATTTATGTACATGTATGGAGTCCTAATGCATATGCTGAGTAATATTACAATAAGAGTTCTTTTCTAGAGGTCTTGGGAGAATGGGAAGAAGTACAGCGTGTGTGCACTGCAGTTACAGCGTTGTTGATTATCTTCATTCACAGGTAACGTGCAAAGCTGGTTGCTCCAGAGTGAGCGTCTGCTCTTGTTATGGGAGCGAGGCAGGCAAGGGCCGAGGGTGGCTGCCTGGATGCAGGGCTGCAGTGGGCCAGCGAGCAGGATGCTGCTCCTTCCCTAACTCCGAGGCACCATCTTAGGGCTGGTGTCTGCATGGACACGGGACAGCTTCCTCCTCTGGCTGCGGTGCATTTGCCTGTACAGCCAACACCCAGGCCCGCCACCAAGAGCAACCAGAAAGGCTGAACACATTTTTTTGAGGGTGTTTTGGAGGTGCCAAGGCAGTCCACCCTCAAAGGGCCAACATCCTGGGCAGATGTGGAGCTCACAGACACTGGGCACCTGTCACCTTTCTAACCTCTCAGGGCTTGCTGGTGTCTGATAAGCAGAGAGCTCATCTTGGAGCTTCTGACAGCGGCACAGGGTGGGGAGATACCATCTGGAATTCAAGGACTGCCAGGGAGGAGGGGCCTGGGAAACTCGCATTCAGTGGGGACCTGGAAAGGGAGCAATGACTTTGCCAGGAGTGGGACAAACAGAAGCTGGATCAGCTGCCCACAGGTCTGAGGCAGACGCCATGCAGCCCCTCCCAGAGTGCATTCGGATGATCCAGCCCTGCGCCTTCTACAGCAGTAAATCCCCTGGAGGGGAGGACACCAGCCCAGGGCTCAGATGATCCTTACACATTTCCTACGTCACCTACTGCTTCATGAAAAACCACCAGGCACAGCAGGAGAAAAAAAGGATGAGGAAAACCCCAGATAATTAAACATCCACGAGATAAAGGTTTGGACGTCTCAGACAGGCTGTGCAGGTGACCAGGACTAACGTGGCAGGAAGTAGATCACAGGACAGAGAGTCTCCAGAGGAAACCCAAATCCATCAAGTAAAAGAAATCAAATGCAAACCTACGGATCAAAAATAAACCAACAGCTAATTAAGTGGGTCTAGCAGCAAAGCAGATGAATGAACTTCAAGACAGGTGGAAAATGCAGACAGAAGCATGGAAGATGTGATAAAAACAAAACACGTGAGCAACACGAGAACATGTGAGAAGGTCATACGTGTAATCGGAGTTGCAAGTGGAGAGCAGAGAGCAGAGCAGGAGAACGGATCAAAGGTTGCAGAACTAATCCCCCACTGGGACACACGCAAGGACTGCCATGCTTGGCCATGAGCAGAGCTGGCCTGGGGGCAGCCGGAGAGCTCTCATTCATGGCAGCGGTTGCCCAGGTCTCTCTGCCTGGGGGTGTTCCCCGCCTCCCTGTGGACAGGACAGAAGTGTCAGGTAGTTAACACCCAGGAGGAGCCTCAACAATGAGGGACAGGAGTTGGTGGAGACAGGAGTTGGCTCTGGAGAGGGCCCTCTCACCTGTAGGAAGACTGAGGGCTGACCGTGAGCCCCGCCTCCCAGGGCCACGGGGGCCAGACCAGCAAGGCAGGGGCGGGAAGCCGACCAGAGGGTTAGATCTGGAGCCAGAGCTGTGGGTACTCTGCGGTGGCCGCAGTGCAGGTGTGTTGGGAAGGGCCTTGTTTATGTTTCCCTGTGGACACGAGAGCTTCGAGTGCCGTCAGACCCACCCAAAAACTTCCTCTTAAAGTGCTGATCGAGGGCCCCAGGTGCCCTGGCCAGGGTTGGCTTCTTGGGTGGCCATCAATGGGCAGTCAGGATCCTGGGGGCTCCCCGAGTGATGAGGCCCTGAGGGAGGTTGGCTTTGGAGATTTATGCACAGCTCATACCCTTAATTTTGGACCTTTTGTTATAGGCTATGTTGCCTCCCTGTTCCCGGCTCAGACCAGATGTCCCTGACAGAGAAGTCCCCTTGACTATTCTGTCCTTAACGTGGAATGCGAAATATACCCCCACCCCACCGAGAAAGAGACACTGCGTGTAGCCAATCAAATTGCTGTAACTGTGCACCAGTGTAACCCTATTAACTTTCCCCGGGTGGTGCCTATACAAATGGCCCAAACCCTCCCCACTTCAGGGCAGTGACCCCACCCTCTGCACTCTGTGTCCTCCCAGGTGGCCACCCTCAGAGCTTGTGCTCAAGTGAACTCCATATTTAATCATAGTGCCTGAATCTCAGCATTAAGGTTGATAGCTCAGCTCCCAACCCTTGCCTCCACCCAGCCCCACTCCCAGCCTTGGCCCCTGGACTCAATCCCCAGCTCTCAGCCCAGCCCCAGCCCTGGCCCCCTGGCCCTAGCTGCGCCCGAGCTGGGCAGGTCCTGCGGCCCCCATCTTCCCACCTCTGCTCCTCAGCGCCTGCTGCCACAGGATCCTCCCTATGATGTCTGTCCACCTGCTCTTGACCGCTGCTGAGCTTGCTTGGAGAATGTAGGTGTCCTGAGATTTCCGCCGCCTGCGAAACCAAATCTCAAACCTCAAGCCACTGTCCCCGACGTTCTGTGTCAGCCCGATCTCAGCCGTCTGCAGTCAGCAAACACCCGTGGCAGCACCGTCAGGCACACACGTGTCTCTGAATGGCTATTTTCTGGCCGACTGACCCAAATTCCTCAGTGCTGGAGGTCACTTAACCCAGACACCAAATGAGAAATGTGTGGGATGGGTCAGGGCGGGCGACACCACACTGCTCACGACTATGTGAGGCTGCCCGTGAGTGTGCAAGGGAGTGTCTGTGCGCAGGACAACTGCCCGTGAGTGTGCGAGGGAGTGTCTGTGTGCAGGACGACTGCCTGTGAGCGTGCAAGGCTGCTCAGGAGTGTGCAAGGGAGTGCCTGTGTGCAGGACAGCTTCCCGTGAGCGTGCAAGGCTGCTCGGGAGTGTGCAAGGGAGTGCCTGTGTGCAGGACAGCTGCCTGTGAGCGTGCAAAGCTGCTCGGGAGTGTGCAAGGGAGTGCCTGTGTGCAGGACAGCTGCCCGTGAGCGTGCGAGGCTGCTCGAGAGTGTGCAACAGATGCAGAACAGCTGCCCGTGAGTGTGCGAGGCTGTGCATAAGTGAGGCTACTTGTGTGTGAGGCCACGCACCCTCACGGCCTCTGTCAAGAAGGGAGGGACCTGCCCTCCCTCAGCACAGCTGAGTCACAGGTAGAGCCCTGCCCACCGTGGCACGCCAGTGAAGCCCCCTCTGGGAAGGCCCCCATGTTCACCTCTGCACAGGCTCCATGACGCAGTCCCTGAGGAGATGCTTGCTCCTCTGCCCCTGAACTGCGCATGGATGGAGAAGACAAGGAACTCCTGCAGCTTTCGGAAGGCTAACGTTTTCAAGAATTTACCAAAGAACAACAGAAAACAGAACATCACGGTGCGGCTCCTCCCAGGTTCACTCCCTCCCAGTTCCTCCACTCGCCTCAAGTGAGACAAGGCTCTGGGGCCCTCTGGTAGGGCCTGGCTTGGCCTGCATCTGCTTGGGCCTGCGGCGCTACCTTGAAGGACTCCTTGGACAGGTAGACGTCGTGGCAGCTCTCCAGCTTCTGGGTCTTACTGAACAGGATGAGCTCTTCAAAGAGGAACACATGCCTCATGCACTTCTTCCTCCCGCAGAGAACGACAAACTCATCCCGGCATCGCAGCTGCCCCTGCTCTTTCAAATTCACCTGCAGAGGAACATGCAGGTGGATTTCATCCAAGAAAGTCTGGCCTCTGTGGTCACACAAGTCACTGTCCCTGTCTAAATGTGTTGGCTTTGTGACAAGCAAGACAGAACAGCAGCCAAACTGCCACAAAATATGGCAACTCTGCCTTCACATTAGCTGTCGACGTAAAGGTTTCAAAGAGCGTCAGAACAGAAACTGCAGCATCACATCTGAAAGCTCAGGAACTCACCCAGCTCCCCCAACCCTCCCGTCTGACGCTCTGGACCCTGTGCAGGGGCTGAGGGTGGGGCTGAGGGTCCCACACCCCCACGTTCCAGGGTCTTATGTGCAAAGATTACAGGGAAATCCTCTGATTTATGTAACTTTCCACTTTAAAGCCCTTTCATCCATTTTTTTTGGAATCTCCTGCTGAGGTGGTTCTAGGGTCCCCTCACTAGATGGACCCTGGGAGCCCGACGGCTCCTCTCTCATCCCCACAGAAATCCCCTCATGCTGGGTCAGGGCACACAGCAGCCCCAAGAGATGGAGTTGCCGCACCCAGCAGGCTGTCCCTCCCCTGTGGAATTTACCCAGATGACAGACGCGGTTGGCAGAGCTCTCCCATGATCTCTATCCCACAGACACCCCTGGGGCTCCTTGGCAGAGGACTCTGGGACAGCCTGAGACCAGGAAGACTGATTGCTACTTCCCAGAAGCAGCCTGAGTCTATGGGTGTTGGGGGCCCGAGACGGGCCTGCCTCCTCCAGCTGAGGTGGGGTCCTACCCTCCATGGCCCTGCTCTGACATTGGGGTGTCACCCATCCCAGATAGGGGACACGGCAGCCTGCTGGAGCACAGCCGGCATCCCCATGCACTGGCCATTTCTCAGCTCGCCTGTGGCCTTTCGGGCGTCTGGGGTTGGGGCTGCCGCACAAGCTGCGCGGCGGGGCCTGTGAGACCCATGCAGCTGGTCCTGGGCCCCAAATGAATGAGCCAAGGTCAGCACCCACGCCTTCTCACACGAGGCTGGGGTGTGACGCCCATGCCCACCTGTGTTAAATACAGCCCAGGTAAGCAGACTTCCAGCCATTCAGAGCCAGTCTGCCTTGCGTGCGCTGTGAAAATACAGCCACAACTGCCAGCCATGGACAAACCCAGGGCTCCAGGACCTCGAACCCTGCTGTTCCCACCATTGCCCAGGTAGGTAAGACCCTCTTCCGGTGGCGCCCCCGTGGCCTCCACCATCGCCCAGGCAGGTAAGACCCTCTCCTGGTGGTGCCCCTGTGGCCTCCACCATCGCCCAGGCAGGTAAGACCCTCTCCTGGTGGTGCCCCCATGGCCCTGAGGAGGCTGTGCTCTGAGGGACATCTCCTGGGCAAATCTGCCAGAGCATCACCAAGAAAACTGTGACTTCCCCACCAGTGGCCTCACAATCCCCCAGCCTGCCGGAGCTGCCAGCAGTCAGGGCACTTACGTCACAGCCGCGGATGGCATCCATGGCCAGCAGGTCATTGCCGCGGCGCAGCTGGAAGCAGACCATGGCCTCGGCGGCTCGGAGCTCACCCAGCTCCTGCCCGTGGGCCGGGCCGCGGCTGGCCTCCTTGAGCAGGTCCTGGAGCAGGAGCGCGTACTTGGCCACGCGCTGCACAGGCCGCAGCAGGTAGGAGGCCAGGTCCATCTTGTCACCCAGCTCCCGCTGCTTGTCCTGCAAGGGCGGGCAGGAGGGTCAGCTCCAGCCTGGCTGGGGGTCAGGCGGGCTGTGGGGGGTGCGCTGAGGGTGATGACCTTGAAGAAGGCGTTGCCATGGCTGCTGAGCAGGGCGTCCGACTGGGGCTTGTTCTTGCTGTAGATTGCGTACATCCCGAACTGCTCTTCCTGGAAAAGTGGAGGCGACTGCTTGGCTGTGGGAGTGACAGGCCCAGAGACGGCAGGCGCCTGCAGCCCAGGTCAGACTTGTAACTGTAACTGCTCCTGTCCTGAGACCCTCCAGACTCTTACCATAATCAGGCAAAAGGGAGACACGTTCCTTCATTAAAGACTATCGAATGTCCCTAGCACGGGGGCTCTAGGGGTGACCAGTTTACCAGGTGCAGCCTCAATGCTGAGAATTCTGTAATTTGTCTTTAAAGCACAGACTCCAGGGGGTCGGGGGGCTGGGGTCAGGGGGAAGAGGATGCAGCAAGCAGTGGGCCTGGGAGGGGGTGGGGGGCATTGGAATGATTTGGTCACTGGCCAAGAGCTAAAGCTGTCAAGACATTTCAAATTGCCACAATTAGTCAGTATAAATCTGCACTTTACGTCTAAAAGCACATTTTAAGAAAACACTGAGGTTCGGCAAGGTGGCTCATGCCTGTAATCCCAGCACTTTGGGAGGCTGAGGTGGGCGGATCACAAGGTCAGGAGTTGGAGACCAGCCTGGCCAGCATGGTGAACCCCATCTCTACTAAAAATACAAAACTTAGCCAGGCCTGGTGGTGTGCACCTGTAGTCCCAGCTACTCGGGGCAGAATTGCTTGAACTCGGGAGGCGGAGGGTGCAGTGAGCCAAGATCTCACCACTGCACTCCAGCCTGGGAGACAGAGCAAGACTCCATCTCAAACAAAAAAAAAAAAAAAAAGAAAATGCTGAAAAGATGTAACATGTGTTTCTTTGGTCCACGGCTGTGTTCGTCTTGATAATTTGTGCTTAATGGTCTGGGACACATGTCCCATCTGCCCATCCCATGGCACTCTGTGAGTGCCTGTGGAAAACCTGTCAGTTTCTTTCCAGAGTAAATTAAAACGCTTTATTAAAGACTCTCATACAGAGACTCCACTTTCAGCATTGAGACTTACGAGAAGACATTGAGTCTGTACATTTCAACGTGCTTCCAGCTGAAAGTCTCACAAGGGAGTTCTCGTGATGGGACCAACTGGTCCCTCTGGCCGGTAACAGGGCAGCCAGAGGCAGGGGGCCTGCAAAGGGGTGAGGCCTGGCCCTGGAAGGTGATTCCAGGAAAACTGTTTCTGGCCAATCAGCCAGAAGTGGTAAAGGGGCAGGGCTGCTGCTGGGGTGCATGTGATGGTGTCGGCGGATGATGCCCCCTCCTCCGGGGCAGTAGGGACGCCGTCGGTCACACCACCCGCAAAGCACAGGCTTATCCATGTGGGGCACCTGTTTATTGGCTGGTCTTACCATCCCGTCAGGGCCAGCTCCGAAACCTGGACTGAAGCTATCTGAACTGCCTGACACGTGGGCCCTGTAGGGTCCCCGCTCCCTGATGCCAGCTTCACCCACCATGTTGGCCCGGTGCCCACGCTGTGGCCTGCACTCACATGTCTCAAGAAACTGCGGCCCACAGCCAAGGGGCAGTGCCCGCAGTGCTCCAGCTCTTGGAGGAAGTGCTGCTGGTGGAAATCGTGGAGCTTCTCCAAGTTGCCAAAAATAACATCATGCTTCCCTCGAAGGCCCTGTGGCAGGTCCGTTCTTTCCATTTCCGGAAAATAGTTGTCGATGACGTATGCTAAGCACCGCACGTACTCCCTCTCTGTGAAGATCATCTCGGCCACGATGTGCTTCAGGCGGCTGCTGGAAGACACAGAGATCCCAGGGTGCATGCCCCCCACACGGACACGTTATTAAAAGCAGTTCATGCCTGAGACAAACATGAAAACCCAGAGGGATGAAAGGGTCACATGTGGACCAGAGGCACATGGGCAACCTCGGGATGCAAGATAAAGAACCTGGCCGGGCGCGGTGGCTCACGTCTGTAATCCCAGCACTTTGGGAGGCTGAGGCAGGCAGATCACCTGAGGTCGGGAGTTTGAGACCAGCCTGACCAACATGGAGAAACCCTGTCTCTACTAAAAACACAAAATTAGCTGGGTGTGGTGGCACATGCCTGTAGTCCCAGCTACTCGGGAGGCTGAGGCAGGATAATCGCTTGAAGCCAGGAGGCAGAGGTTTTGGTGAGCCAAGATCGTTCTACTGCACTCCAGCCTGGGCAATAAGATTTCAAAGAGAAAAAAAAATGCAACTTTCAGTCGTCCCTCGGAATGTCCTCAGCAGGGAGCGACTCACCTCTGCTCACGCTCTGTTACCTGGAGCAGCTCCCTTGATACACAGTAACTTGAAAAGATAAGAACTGTTTCAAAAAGAAACTTGTCACGTGAAACATTTCCCTATTATTGATCATGGCCATTCAGATGAAAGATCCCTTTGGAAATCGAAAAAGACAGATTCCCAGGCCCCCTAACTGAAACTCTGAACATAAGGGTTTCTCGTTCCAGCTGGTTTGATTCTAGCAGTAAGATGAGGCAAACACTTCAGCAGCGAGGTGCCTGCAAGGACGGCTGAAGGGGAAGTCATGTGAGAAAACAGCTTTCGGGTTCATGCCCACTGCTGACTAAGCAGGAAGTTTTCTGAAGTCAGCTTCCACCTCAGTCACTCCTGACACGGGGGCTCAGCACCCTAAGCAGCAGCTGCAGGGGGACTCCGGGCTGTAGCAGCAGGAGAGTGAGGCCGGGCGCAGGGTGGCCAGAGGTAGACAACAGCAGGCTAGGCCCCAGGGATGGCCATCCATGGAACCCTCCTCCCAGCCTTGGCTGGGGTCTTCCTGCCTTGGAAGAGGGTCCTGAGGAGGGGATGCTCAGCAGGCTTTCTAGGAGCCTGTTCTGTTCCCCTGATGGGTGAGCCTCTCATGCACTTCTGGGCCTTCGGAGAGCCCTTCCTGACGGGGCACACACATCGACAGGAGATGTGGGCTCCTCTGTGGCTGCCCGGGGTCTCACCACGTCTGTATCCCCAGGGCTGGGCAGAACCTGGAGGACCCACCCGTGTTGCCCTGAGAGTGGAGAAGTGGGCTGGCCAGTGTGGTCAGCGTGGCCGGGATGGATCCTTGTGTGCAAAACTGCGGTGCTGTGATCAGAGACCCAAACTGGGCTTCCCAAGTCAGGTGGTGTTTTTGTGCATTTTTTTTTTTGCAATTAAAAAACATGCTAAGTATCCAAGAACACTTCTACGTTCACCAAAAACATGCAGGATGCTTAGACCGGTGGCTGAGTTTCATAAGCTGGCTGGAGTGGGGCCACCCGGTCACTCAGCAACCGAGCTTGGCTAGCGTGTGAGCCTGGAGGGCAGGGCCCGGCCTGGGCTTCGGGACTCCCCGTGAGAAGGTTCTCTGGGTCCCGCTGAGGTGGGATCTGTGGCTAGCGTGTGAGCCTGGAGGCCAAGGCCCGGCCTGGGCTTCGGGACTCCCCGTGAGAAGGTTCTCTGGGTCCCGCTGAGGTGGGATCTGGGTGTGTCCCACAGCTCTGCGCCTCAGACAGCACCTATCAACTGCACCTGAGCCGGGGCCCCATCCTAATGAACTGTAAGGTGCGCCATTCTCCACTCCAGAGTGTCTGAGCCCGACCTTCTTAAATAACTCCGTCCTAGTGATACCAGTAGGAGCTGGCAGATTTTTTCTACTATTGTTTTTGTATTTACTTGTTTTTTAAGTTGGAAAAACTTAAAAGCCACTAATGATGGGAAGCATAGCCGTGGGCAGAAATGCTCCTGGAAGCACATCGCGTTCACACACAGCTGCAGAGTGTGTCCGTCACTCCTGCATGCTAGAGGGGACAGCTTCTCACCATTTCTGAGATCACAGCAAATCCTGGTGGGTCAGGACTGTCCCTCACAGCACAGGCGGGCAGAGCGAGGCCTGAAGCCTCCACCACACAACAGCCTCCTCAGTAAATATCCAGAAACAAAATCAGAACGAGGACGGTAAACGGACAATCCCGAGGAAGCGATGGCTGGAAACCCCCCGGGGGCGGGCAGGGTCTCCACCTCCTGCATTCTGCTGCCCCCAAACCTGAAACACGGGCTCAGCGGAGACAGAAGCCTGTCCCTGCAGCCACCTGCTGAGACTCAGGGACAGCACTTGGCATTTTCCCTCTGTTTAGGGACTGGGAAGGACCCAGCTCATACACAGGTTCAGCTGGCAGATACCCCCTGAATCACTCATGCCAATGGTAAAAATCAGAACTTCAGGTTCTACCTAGAGCGTTAATTTTAACAAGATAAAGACTGAGGTTTGGCAACCTAAAGGTGTGTTTTAGAAGAGTGTTCTGAAGCCTTCTCAACTCAGATAAAACCTGTGCCCAGAGCATGAGGAGGAAGCCCCTTTGATGGAGCTTAGGGCAAGGATCTCCACGCCCTGGGCCACAGCCCCTTACAGTCTGTGGCCTCTGAGGAACCGGGCCCACAGCAGGTGGAGAGTGGGTGAGGAGCTCCACCTCCTGTCCGTCAGATCAGCGGTGGCACTCGATTCTCGGAGGACGCAAATGCGACCGTGAACTGTGCATGCTTGGGATCTAGGGTTTGTACTCCTTATGAGAATCTAACTCATGCCCGATTATCTTAGAGCAGTTTCATCCCCAAACCATCCCCCCAACCCCTGTGATCTGTGGGAAAACTGTCTTCCATGAAACCGGTCCCCGATGCCAAGAAGGCTGAGGACCACTGGCCAAAGACACAGAAGACAACCCAGCAAGCAGAGCATCTCATGAAATCCTCCACCTCCAGCCCTTACGACAGTACCAAGTGGACGGAAGACGGAGGTCCAGATGGCATCCGGCCTAGACAGGGGCTGAGGGCACCCACCCTTGGCAGTGAGTGGACAGTGTCCTTGGCAGTTGTCCTCTTACAGGCGTGACAAGGGAGGAGGGACCTCTTCAGTGGGGTAATGGACACATGGGCACGCCTTCTTACCCCTCAACACTTAGAGACTTTCTAAAGGTTATTTTTAAGGTAACTCTTCTTGCTTTCAGGGGCTTGAATTGCAGCTGTAATTTTCTGTAAGTGGGCTGTAGGTACCTAGAGGTGGCCACACAGTTACTTAACCATTGGGGTGAGGGTGTGCAGGTTTCCACACACCGTCCTAAGGGAAGCACTTTTCTGTGGTCCTCTCTGAACATGGGGGCAGGTAATTAATATCTAGTTTAAAACTGTGTTTCTTTAGGTGGATGCAGAGGGACGTCTGTGGATTTACTTTCTACTTTGCAAAATAGAGTTTAATGCTGAAATGGCTTAGAATGTCTAGACACCCAAAGGCCACTAGGACCAGAGGAGGGGACGGCCACCTCACCTGCCCACCTGCCGCCTCCTGTCCTCCTCAGCAGAGTGGAGCCTCGAGGGAGAGGACAGACTCTGGCTCCGAGTGACTAGGGGGCTCCCGGCATCTGGTCCCAGCGGGGGCTCCTTCTCTGCGGCCACAGTGCTAGTCACCTCCAGGCCCCTGATAAAGACATCGGTGTGGCCTGGCTGGCAGGAGTCCCCGGGGCCACTGTGGGCCTGAGGCATCTCAAAACTTTGAGTTTTCTTTATCATTTTCTTCTGGGGATGTTTCCTGGGGCGGCTGGCCGGGGTCTGGGCGGGCTCAGAGGAGCAGGCAGAGCTGCCCTCCGGGTGGGCCTTGCTGGCCCCTGACCTAGGAAGGCCCTCGAGGGGAGACAGTGGGTCCCACAGAGCACACAGCCCTGGGCTCAGAGGCTCCCCATCCTGTCTGCACAGAAGGGCTCGTCCAGGGAGGCTGGACAGTGGTTGGATAGGGACTGAGGGTGGCCTATGGGTCCTCTTCATGGCCTCCTGGGCACGCTCATGCTTTGGGGGCTTCTGGACAAGGGGAGGTGAACTGGGGCTTGGGGCAGCCTCAAAAAGGGCCTCTTCCAGATAAAGCCGGTTCTGGGGGCCCTGCTGCAATGCCCACGGTCTCCGCAGGGCATGACGCTCCAGCACTGCCATGCCCGCTCTGGGGAAGGCCTCTGCAGCCACCGAGGCAGCCTCCTGGTCACAGCTCCTCACACACTCAGTCACAGGTGAGGCGGGATGAGCCTCCAGGTCCAGGGTCCCCATCCAGCCGCTCACCTGAGGGACAAGGAGGGCTCTGTTAGTGCAGCAGAGGACGGTCCACCCTGGAGCCGTATTAGGCCCTGCTTCCCCCCAGGTCGGCCCAGTCAGGGACCAGGGCACCAGGCAGCAGAGCGAGAGGCAGCCCCGCCACCCAGTGGGGCCATGGCCGGGTTCCACTGAAGGGCAGGTGGGCTGGTTCTGACCCCCAGGGTCCATTCTCCATGGCAGGGGGCACCATGGGGGGATGTCCTAGGACCATGGTGTAGGTCAGTTAAGCCACATCCTGTGAGCTGAGCGAGGCGTGACGGGCAGACGGCCCTACCCCGCTCTGGCCACCCCATGACCCCTTAAATGCTGTCCTGACAGTTGAGTCCAAGACCTCTGGCCTGGGTTCCTAACGGCGGGTGGTGCAGGGTGCAGGGAGCTTGCAGGGGTGCACTCGGCTATGGCACGTGCTCGGGGTTTTGGCGGTGGGTGGGATTCTGTAACTGATCCGGGAAACACACAGGGAGCTTTGTGTGTTTGTTTGGCTGGTCTGTTCAGTACAGTAACGAAAGCTCAGAGCCTTCTCCAGAGAGCCGTGGGTGTAGAGGCTGGGGTCCATCGCAGGTGCCCGGCCACTGCCCCAGAGCCTGGCCCACTGCCACTTGTGTGGAGAGGCACTTGCTAAATGTCCACAGCCTAAGGAGCAGGGATCCCAGAGGCACACCATCTGCCCCTCTGGGTCTCTTACCGTCTCATGGAACTCGGATGGGTGGGTCCAGCTGGCCAGCTCTCTCTCCCTCCATTCAGCCTGGCTGACCACGACGCTCAGGTCCCTTCTGAAATCCTGGGCCATTTCCTCTGTACACTGTGGGTTTTCCTTCGCCAGCCGCAGTCCTTTCTGGCAGGATTGCTGTGCCCAAGGAACAAAGCGTTAGTACAAGCTGGGTTTTCCGTGTCCGCGTCTCCAGCTATAGGCCGGGTCTGCATGCAGCCACGGACACCAGGCTCGGACAGCCCACAGAGCTGCCTGCCGCGGCCTCCCACTCTCCAGAGCCAGAAACAAGGGACTGAGGAGTTTCTCTAGTTCTCTTCCAGACCATGATTTGATCTACACAGGGGAAGAACGTTTCATATCTAAACACACAGCAGAGGCACACTCTGGGATTTAGCAGGAATGAGGGAGGGAGGCGTCTTGGTCACATGCTGCATACACGCTGCATAGGGCTGACGACCCTGAGGCGTAACCGCCTGTAACACGATTGATGAGAGGTGTTAACGGGCCTCTACGCTCAAGCACCAAACTATTTTCATTGGAAATGGGAATTAAAATCATTGAACGATGCATCCGGAGCTTTCTGTTTTGAAACTGGTGAATATGCTAAGCATTTCCAGAAATATTCTTCTGCTTGGCCCCTTGGGGCTACGTGGGAAAGACGGGGAGCCCCTGGCTGAGCCCTGCTGGACACAGCACCTGTGGCTGCTCACCCTGGTGGCAAGACCAAGGTTCTTATTTTGGAGGCGTTTATCAGTGGATTCAGTGGAAATCTCACAGGTGAGCCCTTCCCGTTGTCATTAAACAGCAGTGCCTGGGGTAGCCGCCGGTCAGATGCCCCAGGACGAGGCCCGTTGTGAAGAAGAGAACAGCTGGCTGGATCCACAACCATCAGAAAGGTATCAAATGGCCCCAGATACGCAGCAGGAGGAAAGCGAGAGACCAGCGCGCAGTCTGCAAACAGAGCCAGAGTGAAGGAGAGTCCAGCATCTTGCTTCTTAGGAGCACGGGTGGGGCAGGGGCGGCACAGAGCCGGAGCCGGCCTCCAACCTTGCAGAAAAGCCAGCTGTCATTGATTTCAAGGTTTAAATACGAAAATTCAAGTCGTCAAGGTTCTATGATGAAATACACTCAATTCTATAACCTTAAGGTAGAAAGCACTGTTTAAAAGGTGAGCTGGAGGACAAAGGACAAAGCGGGAAAACAAACGTCACATGTAGGGTCCATATAACACAGACAGGTGCTCATCGACCCCGCAAAGGTTGCCTGAAGCAGGAGCAAGTGATTCACTACAGAAATGAACGTGTGACATGAATGTTCAGCTGCAGCCTGGAAGCTCCGAGCAAGTGATTCACTACAGAAATGAACGTGTGACGTGAATGTTCAGCTGCAGCCTGGAAGATCCGAGCAAGTGATTCACTACAGAAATGAACGTGTGACGTGAATGTTCAGCTGCAGCCTGGAAGCTCCGAGCAAGTGATTCACTACAGAAATGAACGTGTGACGTGAATGTTCAGCTGCAGCCTGGAAGATCCGAGCGCACTCCGCTGAGGGCTCCGTTTTCCCCGGCGCGGCCAGCGGGAGGCAGGGGCGGGTTGAGTGCCGCGGCCCATGCGTGGAGACCTCTGGAAACGAAAGGCCTGACCCCAGCCATCCGAGCCAAGGCATGTGTCCAGAGTCCAGACCCACAGACTGAAGGAAGCAGACACAGGAATGTTCAACATGGGATGTTTCTGACAGTGGAGGATGAGGAGCCCAGGGCATCAGGTGGGAGCCCTGTGGACATGACTTGGGGACTGAGCTGGCAGCGCACGCCCACAGGGTGTTGAGGCCGCCACACACAGCATCTTCCCGTGTGTGTAAAAATCTATTTGTTTCTGATTTCCCCACACGGTGCATGCACTTCTAGGTTAACTACAGAGAGAGAGACGTGCACGTTACGCACGGTGTGATCACCTGTCAGATTACAAGGTGCAGTTTCTGGGTGGAGACTGCAGAGTGACACGTGCCGTCTTGAGACAGCACTAAGGCCTGCAAGCATCTTCAGGTGTGACCCTCAGCATGACGGGCGAGAGCTGCCGGGGCTGGGAAGATGGTGGGAGTGGCAGGGTCTGAGAAGAGCAGAGGCCAGTCCTGAGACTCCACAGGACAGGGGCAGGGGTGTGGCAGGGAAGGGGCTGGGGTGGGGTGATCCTGGCCATGCGGGGGGGTGGGCAGGGAGAAGTGGGTGAGCGCTGAGCTGAGGCCACACCCCCCCCTTCAAGCAGGGATTAGAGAAGAGGCTGAAGACACACAGGCTTCCTAATCTGGGGTCACCAGGAAAGCCTCTGGCACCAGAAGGAAGCCGAAGATGCCATAGGCCGTGCAGACTCATCATGACGAGCACAGAGTGGGACATTCAGAAAAGATGCCCATGGGGTTAGAAAGCAAGGGCGGCAACAAAAGCCTCAATCACAGGGTTAGGGCGCAAAGGTGAGAAACTCCAGCCTGCAAGGACGGTGCCCGGCCAGGGGTGAGGAAAATCACAGGAACAGGACAGAAAACTCCAGAACCAGCTAGAAGTGTGGAGCTGTGGGAAATGCAAGCGCCACGAAGGACATTTCATGGAATTCCCAGAACAGGGCGTGATGCACACCAGGGAGAGCACACCTGCCCTCCGCCCCTCCCTGGGCAGCCCTCAGATCCCAGGGCCCTGAGGAAGGTCCTCCTCGGGGAAGCTGAGCACGGGCACAGGTCTTCTAGCTGGAGGGAAACTGAAGTGGCTGCTGGCCACGAAGGTGGAGCAGAGGTGCTTTTAGATGCCACGGCCTCAGAAATGCTCATCCCAAGATGCCTTTCTCTGGGAAGTCCTGGAAGTTATTCTGCATAAAATGCCAAAGTAAATGAAAAAAGAGGAAGACCCCACAAGACGGGGCAGAGGGAGGAGGAGATGGATGAGACCACACAAAACGGGATAGAAGTGGGAGCGAGATGGAGGAGAGCCCAGGACGGGGCAGAGAGGGGAGTGAGATGGAGGAGACCCCAGGATGGGGCAGAGGTGGGAGAGGAAGATGGAGGAGACCACAGGACAGGGCAGAGGGGGGACGGAAGACCCCACAGGATGGGGCAGAGGGAGGAGGGGAAGACCCCCCAGGATGAGACAGAGGGAGGAGAAGATGGGAGAGACCCCTCAGTACAGGATGGGGGAGAGGGGAAGACGGAGGAGACCCCCAGGACGGAGGGCCCAGGCTGGAGACAGCGCCGACTGGCTGTGGCTGCCGCTCTGTCCAGATCCCCCCTTGCCTGGTCTGGGGTTCCTGCTCCTGCCCCAGCGCTTGGACCAGCTGGGCCCGGCTGACGCCTGGGAGCTGGGTCAGTTGGAAGGCTGGGGGCATGCACTCCGCCTGGTGTCCCTGCTGCACATCCTTGCCCGAGGCCCTGGCGAGGGCCAGTGTGTGGACTCGGAGGCCTGTGGAGCTTCGTCTGTAGACCGGAGGGCCAGGGGTGACTCCGGCCCCGCCACACAGCGCTCCAGGCCGCCGGCGCCCTCACATGTACATTTGTTGCAGTATTGGTTGTTGATAAAATAATAAGGATTTGTATAAAAACATATACAAGTTTTGAAAAGAGTTGATATGTGAGAAAAGAAACTTTTCATCTGAGTGTGCACCTTTAAACTGTCAGGCCCAGAGGCATCAAAGGGAGGAGCAGCCTTACACACGTCCCCCAAGCTAAGCAATCGTTTCCGAGCTGCTGCTGTGTGGACCCTGGACCCGGCAGTGTGTCCACCAAGGGCCATTAGTAAGCCCAGCCACGCTGCACGCTGGACACAACTCACACCATAGCCCAGCAGCACACGGCCAGTCCGCACCAGTGCCATTGCCGTGAGCCACTTCTGTCATCACCCCTCTCCTGATTCATCCTTTTTTCTTTAAAACCTCGAGCCTCAGCTGGGCGTGGTGGTTCACGCCTGTAATCCCAGCACTTTGGGAGGCTGAGGCAGGTGGATCATGAGGTCAGGAGTTTGAGACCTGCCTGACCAACATGGTTGAAACCCCGTCTCTACTAAAGACACAAAAATCAGCTGGGTGTGGTGGTGTGCACCTGTAATCCCAGTTACTCAGGAGGCTGAGGCAGGAGAATCACTTGAACCTGGGAGGTGGAGGTTGCAGTGAGCCGAGATCATGCCACTGCACTCCAGCCGGGGCGATACAGCAAGACTCAGTGTCAAAAAAAAAAAAAAAGACCTTCAAGCCGCTTCCAGAGCCACTTCCTGAGGTTCACCTGGAGGCACTTCCCAGGCTGCCGTCCTTGGCTGCGGCCCAGGCGCTCTCTACCTGCGTGGGTTTTGCCCGCTTCTCTCGGCCAACATGTGCACACATGGAGAAAGCGTCCAGAAGAAAATACACTGAGGTGCTCACACTGGTCGCTTCAGAAGGCACAGTGTGAAATTATTTTTCTCCTTGGCCTCCTCTGCATTAAATAAATCTTTTTTCCACTGATCCAGTATCTCTCATGTAAAAAATAAAGTTTATTTCTTTTTACACAAGCAGGAAGACATGCTCTATCCTGACAAAATTTCATTCCACATGGAAATCAGGTCAAGGCCCAAAAGACTCGGTGTGAAGGTGAGAGGGTCGCCGTGGCCAGCCTGGCCTGGAGGGGATGCTGGCCCGGCTGGCTTCCTCCTGCAGCTCTGACCTGGTCATCCCCTTCCTGGAGTGAGGCCAGCTCCCGGAGGTGCTCCAGCTGCTGGAGGCGGTTGTTCAAGGCGAGGACCAGCCTGTGCACCTCCTCATCCACTTGGTCGTACAGCCCTCTTGCGGCCTCCAGGGCGTCCCTGAGGAAGAGAGGGCAGTCCTCCGGCTCCCAGGTGACCCCCTGAGGAGTCTGCTTGTGGTGACAACCCCATGTAAAACCCTGCTCTTTCCAACCCTCATGCAGAAGGCACCAGGAGCCCCAGGAGAAGGCCCACTGCCGGGGCAGCTGCCCACATCCCTGTGGCCCAGGGTGCAAGCACCTGAAGGGGACCCCTGCTGGGCAGCCTAGGTGGACTGGCTTTGTGCGGCTGAGATGGGCAGGGACTGTGGGGGCGGGGGGGCACAGTGCCCCAGGCAGCGTGATTGTGAATGAGCTCATTCTGATGTGCTCTGGCTGCTCCTGCCCAGGGTCCCCAGGAGCCGGCTCCTTGATCTTTGGAGCCTGTATGTGTGGAAAAGCTCTGACCCAGGCAAAGTGTGGCTGTCAGAACGGAGGTCTGCACCAGGCACCGAGACGGCTCTCCTTGGAGCAGAGCGCTTCACCTCCTGCCTGCAGACTCCGCTGAGCAGCCCCTCGACGGGCCAGTGCCCAGTGCTGCCCCAGTGGGTGCTCACCGGCTGTCTTCTGTGCCAAGCTCTTCTCTCCTCAGCCGTGCCAGGACGGTGCCCCCCTCCAGCCTGAGAGACACCAGCAGTGGGTCTTCCAGGACGAGCTTCATCATCGTCTCGTGCTGGTCAGCTAACTCGGCGACTTCCTGCACAGGGTGGGGAGGAATACGCCTTCAACCTTCTCCTCCAAGGCCAGGTCCTCCCGAGTGCAGCATGCGGAGTGTGACCCATGTTCCTGTTCTGTAAATCGAGTTGCAGGCCTGGTGGTACAACCGGGCCCCCCTGAAGCTGATGGTCCAGACACTCTCACCAGGGAGGGTGAGTCCCAGGGAAAGATCTCTTGCGGGGAGAAGAAGGGGGCTCAGAGGTCAGCCGCAGGAGGTGAGCCTGCTCTTTAGACCAGGGACGTGCAGGCCTCACCCACAGACGCTGGGCCCCTCGGCCTGGCAGCTGCTGAGAGCCCTATGGCCAGTCCACCTCTTCGTCTCCTTGGAATCACTCATTCCCAGCAGCCGCTGCTGCCCACACTACTGGCCTATTGTCAAATGCAGTGGCACTGCTTTCCTTCTGGGTAGGGTGGGATGCTTTTGGTGACAAAGGGGAGGAAATGGCCTTTTGTGAATTAAGAGGGATGTACAAATGAAAAGGATTTCAAAGTCTCCCACGGTGAACCAAATGTTTATTTTCAAGTCTGGCTAAACCTCTGTGCCCCCACCTACCTGTCACATGAAGAGAACTTACCTGGCTGCGGACTCACCTGGGCTGTTCTTGGGGTTCTGTGGGTGTTCAGGGAGCAGAAGGAATTCTGCAGGAAAACGATGGCCGCCTCGCAGTTTGCGGTGAAGTGTTCCAGCGTCTATCGTGAGTTGAGAGGGAGGAGATAAGGACACAGTCTGTTAGGTGCCAAAATAAGCAGCCGTGAGTTCCTGTGTTTAAACCGACCTCGGGTCAGGACGCTTCCATGTGTGCAAATGCTCAAAATCTGCAGACACCTCTGGGTGGCAGTGCCCCTCCCACCCAGGTTCAGCGTTCTCGGACACACCAAGCATGGCTTTGCTGACATGGACACCTGGACGGCGACTGAAACAAGCCTGAGAAAGTCCCCGGGGGCTGTGGCACCTGCAGCAGCTGCAGCTGAACCTACCTGACGGAAGCAGACCCAGTCACCATGGCTGTAGGGAAAGGAGCCGTCGAGGTCTGCCGTCAGCTGGGAGCTGTTGACAAATCTGTGCAGGGCCTTCAGGGAGCTCACGACCTCACACTGCCAAGAAGAGGCACTCATTGGTCACAGCTCCAGATGCAGAGGGGAAGACACTGTAAATGGCTCAATCCTGGGTTCGCAGGGTGGAGAGGCTGGCTCAGGGCGTGTGGCCTCTGCTTTGCTGGAGGTGCTGGTAACAGCACGTGTTTGGGTGCAGTAACGAAAGTGAGAAGATGGGAAAGCAGGGGACAGCAAAGAGAAATGAAGGGAAGGCCCTAGTGAAGACCAAATAAAAGGGAACAGGGAGAAAGGAAGAAGGAAGAGAATGAGTCCAGGCTGTCCTTCTGGTGTATCGGAGGTGGCCCGTCTCAGATCAACCCACAAACTCTGCACAAAATACAAGAGCTTCCCGAAGCCACGGCAGCCAAGCAGTGAGGCTTCTTATTCTGCTCCTGACACCTGCATGTGGGGCCACAGGCAAGGTCCCGCTGTGACTCCGTCCTCAGGGCATGGTCAGTGTGTGGGAATGGCTGAGCCCCAACAGAAAACAGGATCCTTTCGACAGCAGGTTACTTTATTAAAAAAAAAAAAATTAAAGGAAAATGAAAGAAAAGAGGAAAGATGAGAAAAGAAAAAAAGAAAAAGAAAAATGGCATCCTGGCCAGTGTGATGGCTGATACCTGTGATCCCAGCACTCTGGGAGGCCAAGGCGGGTGGATCATTTGAGCCCAAGGGTTCGAGACCAGCCTGTGCAAGAGGACAGAAACAAAAACCCCATCTCTACAAAACAAAATACAACAATTAGCGGAGTGGGGCAGCACACACCTCTAGACCCAGCTACTCAGGAGGCTGAGGTGGGAGGATCACCTGAGCCTGGAGAGGTCAGGGCAGCAATCAACTATGATCAAACCACTGCTCTCCAGTCTCAGCAACAGAGTTCGACCTTGTCTCAAAAAATAAAAATAAAACAATAAAAAAATAAGACAACTGGCCTCTTTCTGACATGAAGAAAGAAGAAACAGAGGGTGGGGTGGGCTGACCACATCACTGGAAGCTGAAAGCAGATTCCCAGAAGGGAGCAGTGGGGAAGGAGCCTGTGATTCCCAGAAGGGAGCAGTGGGGAAGGGGCCCCCGATTCCCAGGAGGGAGCAGTGGGGAAGGAGCCCCTATTTCCCAGAAGGGAGCAGTGGGGAAGGGGCCCCTCAATTCCCATGAGGGAGCAGTGGGGAGGGGCCCCTGATTCCCAGGAGGGAGCAGTGGGGAAAGGGCCCCTGATTCCCAGGAGGGAGCAGTGGGGAAGGGGCCCCCGATTCCCAGGAGGGAGCAGTGGGGAAGGAGCCCCTGTTTCCCAGAAGGGAGCAGTGGGGAAGGGGCCCCTCAATTCCCATGAGGGAGCAGTGGGGAAGGGGCCCGTGATTCCCAGGAGGGAGCAGTGGGGAAGGGGCCCCTGATTCCCAGAAGGGAGCAGTGGGGAAGGGGCCCCCTGGTGTGATATAAACTCTGCCCAAGTCTCTGGCAGATCCAGAACCATGCTGCATGGGGAAGACTCGGAGAACTAAACTGAACCCACTGGGGTGACACAGAGCTTCTGGTTTGAGTCTAACCAAGTTCGTGCACACTAGAACAACACTGTGAGTCTGTAACAGAAGCCAGTCTCCACACCAGAATCTTCAGAATGTCCAGAACTAAGGGACACACAAAGAATCAGAACACCGTGACCTATGCTCAGAGAAAGACAAACATCAGTAGAGGCCAACCCAGAGGTGACGCAGGTGTTGGAATTAGTAGACGAGGACTTCAAAGCAGCCATTAAAACTGTGCTCAGTGACGTAAAGGAAAAACGCCTGTAATTTATGAAAGGGGAGGAAAACTCCAGAGACGCAGAAAACATTTTAAAATCCACGGGAAATCTTATAGTTGAAAAATACAGTATTTGAACTAAAAAATTCAATGGGCAAATGGGTTAGTCCGTTTTCACACTGCTATAAAGATACTACCTGAGCCTGGGTAATTTATAAAGGAAAGAGGTTTAATTGGCAGTTCTACGTGGCTGGGCAGGCCTTGGAAGCTTACAATCGTGGCAGAAAGTAAAGGACAATTGAGGCCCCGTCTTCCATGGTGCAGGCGAGAGAGAGGAAGGAAGGGCCGCACTTAGAAGCACGAGCTCTCATGAGAACTCCTATCAGGAGAACTGCATCTGCCCCCATGATCTAGTCCATCCCTCGACACGCAGGGATTAAAATTTGAGAGGAGATCTGGGTGGGGACACAGAGCCAAGACGTATTAGTGAGTTTAACAGCTAAGGCGATGACAGAGAAGGAGCCAGTGACCCTGAGAACAGGATCAAGAGGAACCACCTGATCTGATGACTAGAGAGGAAGAAAGTTAAAAAAGACAGATTCTTGGAGCTCTGTGGGACAATTCTGGTATATATAATTGAAGTACTAGAAAGAGAGAAGAGAGAACAAAGCAGGAAAAACATTTTAAGAACCGAGCCAGGTGGCCGGGCATGGTAGCTCACGCCTGTAATCCCAGCACTTTGGGAGGCCGAGGCGGGCGGATCACGAGGTCAAGAGATAGAGACCATCCTGGCCACCATGGTGAAACCCCATCTCTACTAAAAATACAAAAATTAGCTGGGCGAGGTGGTGCAGGCCTGTAGTCCTAGCTACTCGGGAGGCTGAGGCAGGAGAATCGCTTCAACCTGGGAGGCGGAGGTTGCGGTGAGTCCAGCCTGGCAACAGAGCGAGACTCTGTCTCAAAAAAAAAAAAGAAAGAAAGAACCAGGCCAGGTACAGTTGCTCACACCTGCAATCCCAGAGCTTTGGGAGGCCATGGTGGGAGGACTGCTGAAGGCCAGGACTTCAAGACCAGCCTGGGCAACACAGCAAGACCTTGTCCCCTAAAAAAAAAAACATAGCTAGGTGTGGGGCTGCACACGCTCAGTCCCAGTTACTCAGAAGGCTGAGGTGGGAGAATCACTTGAGCCCAAGAGTTTGAGATCACAGTAAGCTCTGATGGCACAAAACCACACTCTGGCCAGGGTGACAGAGCCAGATCCTGTCTCAGGAAAGGAAAAAAAAAGAGAGAAAGGCTAAAAAGGTCCTAAATGTGGTGACAGGCAAACATCCTCAGATTTAAGAGCTCAAGCAAGCCTACACAGGAAAGACAAAGAAAGATGAAGGAAACCTACCCTACTGCACGACAGTCAACCTGCTGAAAAGAAAGGAAGTACCTTGGAAACAGCCAGAGGAAAATTAACACACTTCGTACAGACGAACAATGAAAACGATTTCAATTATGGTGAACTCTTCTACAATTATGGAGGCCAGGAGGCAAGAGAGCAGCATTTTAAAGTGCTGGGGAAAACAAAACTACTCTCTAACCAGAATTCCAGGTGTAGCAAAAACACCCTTCCAGAATGAGGGCAAAGTAAAGATGTTTTCAGATAAAAGAGCACGGCAGGAGAAAAGAGAAGAAAACAGATGAGAAGAAAGGTCAACCTTTAAGATTTTTGTGGCATACTCGGCAGGGCTTCTGCGAAAACTTGGTGGGGAGGAAGTGGGTTTCCAGGCTCCACGTGGATGGAACTAGGGCTTAGGTAAATTATTTCATGTGTTTTATCTCACCCAGGTGCCTCCATATGTAACGTTATCCACCACTCAGGATCCCACCGTCCAAAACCATTACCTGAATTACTGCATCCTTGTCAGGCCTAAATGCAGATTCTTTATCTACCAACAGCAGGATACTATGAATTACAGGACACGTGTTCTGAAATAGATGAGAAATAAATGTTACTGATGAGCTTTCTAATTGTTAACTTCATTAACAGAACTGCCCAGTTTTGACTGGTGCTACCTCTGTCATAGATAGTTCCCTGGAGAACCTACTTTGCCCTGAAATGTAAATGATTTGCCCTTATGAATTTTTAATGTAATCAGGTTTATGGAGGTATAATTTACCGACACTGTAATTCACCCTTTTTAGTGAATAGTTCTGTAAGTTTTGAGGAAAGCATAGTCATGTAACCATCACCACCATCAAGACGAAGAACTGCAAAGCAACCCCAAAATTCTCTTGTGCCTGTTTGTAGCCAAGCACTCCCCTATCCCCAGCCCCTGGGCAACCAGGGGTCTGTTTTCGTCTCCATAGACTTGCCTTTTCCAGACACGACATAAACAGACTCAGACAGACCCGGCCTCTTTCACTTAGCATCGTGCATGGGAACTCATCCCTGTCGTGAGTACCAAGCGTTTGTTCCTCTGCCTTGCTGAGCAGCCTTCCATGGCATTCCCGCACCGCGAGGTAGTCATCCAGTTCACCAGCTGAAGGATATCTGGCAATCGTGGGTAAAGTCACTATAAATGTGTGAACAGGAGCACAGGTTTTCATTCAGGAGTGGGACTTCTGGCTCATGTGATAAGCACGTGTCTTCCAGAGTGGCTGTGCCATTTTCAAGTTCCATCGGCAATACCAAGCGCTTGCTGCTGACAAGCTTTGTTGCTGTTTTGTGTGTTTCGTTCTGGGTTTCAGCTGCATTTCCCAGTGATTCATGGCGTCGGGCACATTCCCAGGTGCTTATTTGCCGTCTGCGTTATCATCTTCAGTGACGGGCACTTGTTCTTCCCTGGAAAACGCCCCACAAGCATGTGAGAAGCACCTACGTGCGGCTGTTGTTGGGTGGAGGGTTTCGTGCGTCTGTTAGATCTGGCTGGTTTACTGAGTTCTTCACGTCCTCCATTTTAAAAAATGTACCTTCCAAGGTACTGAAGTCACGCAGAACCGACTGCTTCTCTCTCCAACTCCGTTAGCGTTTGCTGCATCCATTTTGATGGCCGTGAGGTTTGTCGATGTTTACAATTGTACCTTCTTGCTGTACTGAACCTTTTATTAACATACGCTGTTCTCCATGGTGTCTTGTAACACGGTTAGTCTCAAAACACAGTAATAAGAAAACAACCAGTAAACTATGGAGAGGATTTGAGTCTTCGCAACGTTTTATGACTTGATGTCTATTTGGTCTGGTGTTAGCACAGCCACCGCTGATCTCTTCTCGTTAGGGCTCCAGCACCTCTCAGAGCCTCCCTGGTCAGTGCCTCCCCTGGCCCCGGGCCTCCCTCAGGCTTCCCTGACAGCGTCTGCGCACTGGGGTCCCGTCCAGCCCAGCCTGTGCACCCCAGCTCGTGGCCTGCGCTCTCTCCTCCTGGTGACCCCTTCCTGACCTCAGGGAGTTGCCTCGGCCCCTCGTCCAGCCCAAGGTTCGTGCCACTTGCTCCCAGGCCAGCCGATTTCTGCTAGCCCAGCCACCCTGCCAGGCAGCTCCGGAGGATGCCACCCACTCCAGGGCCCAACCTGAGTGGACCGCACCCTGTAACGGGTCATGACGGAGCCTGTCTCCTCCGAGTCTCAGCAGGACACAGCTTTTCTAAGAACAGCTACGTCATGTGAAAGTAGGAGGGGCCGACTGTGAGGAGGGGTGGGGGCAGGTTCACTCTAAGGCAAGGTGAGGCAGGCCCGATGTGAGGAGGGAAGTGAGGGAGAGAAGAGGTGGCAGCAGGATGGAGAGGAGGGAGGACTGCAGGGTGGGGGGAGAGGAGGGAGGGCCGTGGGGGGAAGAGGAGGGAGGACTGCAGGGTGGGGGGAGAGGAGGGAGGACTGCAGGGTGGGGGGAGAGGAGGGAGTACCATGGGTGGAAGAGGAGGGAGAAATGCAGCATGGGGGAGGGGAGGGAGGACTGCAGGGTGGGGGGAGAGGAGGGAGGATCGTGGGGGGAAGAGGGAGGACTGCAGGGTGAGGGAGAGAAGGGAGGACCGTGGGGGGAAGAGGAGGGAGGACTGCAGGGTGGGGAAGGGGAGGGAGAACTGCAGGGTGGTGGAGAGGAGGAAGGACTGTGGGGGAGAGAGGAGGGAGGACTGCAGGGTGGGGGGAGAGGAGGGAGACCATGGGGGGAAGAGGAGGGAGGACTGCAGGGTGGGGGGAGAGGAGGGAGGACCATGGGGGAAGAGAAGGGAGGACTGCAGCGTGGGGGAGGGGAGGGAGGACTGCAGGGTGGGGGAGAGGAGGGAGGATCGTGGGGGGAAGAGAAGGGAGGACTGCAGGGTGAGGGAGAGAAGGGAGGACCGTGGGGGGAAGAGGAGGGAGGACTGCAGGGTGGGGGAGGGGAGGGAGGACTACAGGGTCGGGGGAGAGGAGGGAGGACCATGGGGAGAAGAGGAGGGAGGACTGCAGGGTGGGGGAGAGAAGGGAGGACTGCAGGGTGGGGGGAGAGGAGGGAGAACTGTGGAGGGAAGAGGAGGGAGGACTTCGGGGGGAAGGGAGGACTGCAGGGGAAAGATGAGAGAGGACTTTATGGTGGTGAAGAGCAGGGAGGGCAACAGCGGGGACAAGAGGGAGGACCATAGGGGGAGGAGAGAGGCTGGCAGGGGTGAAAAGGAGGGAGGACCACAGAGGGGGCAGAGAAAGGAGGACCATGGGAAGGAAGAGGAGGGAGGGCCCCACGGTGGGGTGAGCTCTGCCAGTGCTGTCCCTGACCTCTTTCCTGGCACAACTTGCCACCTGGTGTCCCTAAACTTGAGTTTCCTCAGTGAGTACAGGAGCCTCTGCCTGCATCTTCAGCAGGGACAGAAAGGGTGAACCGGGTTTAGTTTCATAGAGGGCAGGTGGGGCATGGGAGAGGGCACCCCAGGCTCCCTGTTCCTGGTCTCTCCCTGTCCCCGGTCTCTTGCTGTCCCCAGTGTCTCACTGTCCCCAGGCTCCCTGTTCCTGGTCTCTCCCTGTCCCCGGTCTCTCCCTGTCCCCGGTCTCACCCTGTCCCCGGTCTCTCCCTGTTCCTGGTCTCTCCCTGTCCCCAGTCTCTCCCTGTCCCCGGTCTCTCCCTGTCCCTGGGCTCCCCTCTGCCCCTGCCCAGGCAGCAGCACCTTCCCATCCCCAGAGCGCCCAGTCTCCTCTGGATGTTGCTTGTGGTTCAGTATGCCGGGCCTCTTAGCCGGGTGCAGTAGCTCACGTCTGTGATCCCAGCACTCTGAGAGGCAGAGGCAGATGGATCGCTTCAGTCCAGGAGTTTGAGACCAGCCTGGACAACATGGCAAAACCCCATCTCCAGTAAACATACAAGAAATTAGCCGGGCGTGGTGGCATGTGCCTGTAGTCCTAGCTACTCGGCAGGCTGAGGCAGGAGGATCACCTGAGCCCAGGAGCTCGAGGCTGCAGGGTCCTGCGATGATGGCACTGACCCCACCCGGGGCTGCCAGGTTCATCCCTGACCTGGTTCGTCCTTGCAGTGAACCTTCCCCTTCCTGCCTCCACCCTTTGTCTGAAGGGCAATGCTGTGCCCTCATCCGATGGAGGGGCACAGACAGTGCTGCACTGCCCTACTGGGACAGGTGCCCACCACCCAGGCCTGGCAGGCTTTGCTTTTTAGGTTTGCAGTTGCCCCGAGCATGGAGCTTCTTCAAAGTCCCACTGGACAGGCCATGCCCACCTTCCTCAGTGTCTGTGCCCGGCCCCGGAGAGCAAGAGCTGGGCTCACTGTTAAGACCCTGGGCAGGAGAGGGCTCTGCACAGGGGCCCCCGTCTCAAATCTTCACGCCGAACCTGTGGACCAGCTACTCCAGAACCACAACAGGGGTGGCCCCAGCAGCACACGGCTCTGAGATGCCCCGTACACCTGAGGGACGTGACAACCGTGGCGTACCTGCAGTCCCGCGAGGGCCTGGGAGACGGCAGGGGCAGCCAGACTCCCGCGGGTGTCCACCAGGACGACCAGCCCCAGGTCCCGGACCTCCTTCCTGGGGAGGGAAACAGCCGGTCTTAACCACTGCACATGAAATCTCTTACAAACATGAGCTTCTCCACCCGAGACAAGTGGTTACTGGGTTCCTTTCAGCTCTAGAAGTTAACGGTTCTCTATACACATCAACCCTCTACCTCCCAAAGGGGCAGGCCCGTCGGCTGGAGGCACCGCCGTTGTTCCTCTCGTGGAACCTGCTGTGATGCCAGACGGCATCTCCGGGTGCATGGGGCTGCGGCTATTCGCCCCTAGACGGACGAAACAGGCCCCCCGCCATCGAGGGGGCAAGGACTTCAGGGCCTGCTTGCACTCATTGATTTGTCTGGGCATTAATGTAGCACAGAAGCTGACTGACGGGATGTGGACGCCGTTCTCAAGACAGAGGCTTGAGCTCAGTCATCAGGGCTCCGAGTGACCCAGAGCCAAGCAAAGACTGTTAGAGCATCTTTCAAAACTACAAAGACCATCACATGGTTTTAAAAACTCCAGTGTAAAAGCTTTGTCTCTGTGATTGTTACTGGAAACTCTGCTCCAAAATTTCAATAGAAAAAAATAATAGGTTAGGTGAGTTGATATGTTCATTTTTGAAAATTTTAGTGTTTGGCTGGTCTGAAGGTAGTGAGTTATCTCCTTTGATTGTTCACACAGTTACCAATCAAACGCCTTGTTCTGCCTTTCCCCCACTCACGACTGCACCCAACTAGTGTTAAAAAACATATAGCTGGGTGCTGTGGCTACCTGGAAGGCTGAGGGGGACGAGGTCGCTTTAGCCCAGGAGGCTGAGGCTGCAGTGAGCTGGGATTGTACCACTGTGCTCTGCCCAGCCGACGGAGCAAGACCCGTCTCAAAAAAAACGTGTGTGTATTCTTTGACAATTTCTTCAGCTCTAACTCCAGGATTCATGGACATTCTAACTAAGTTGTGTATCTGGACACTGATCTTACAGTGTTCATGTGAGCCAGGGACACAGGAGAGCCCTAGCTCACGTCACTCGGCGGCTGCGTCCTGGCCAACGGCGTGAGTGTGCCCCGTCGGCCCCGCAGCCAGGCCTGTTCAGTTTTGGGTGTCACTGGGAAGGATGTGTGCTGAAGATCAGAAACGGTGTGTGGAAATCAAGGCTGGAAGCGCGTGGGTGCTGGCTGCTCCGGAAGGACGAGGTTAGGAGAGGCAGGGTCTGGCCATGGAAGCTGGCACCGTCCCCCCATTCCCCCCGCTTTGCCACAGACATGCAGCTGGGGTCCCCGGGTCTGCAGGGTGGGGCCCGGCCCCCGTCCCACCTGGGGATGCTATGGAGGTACAGCAGCAGGCGGGTCAGCTCGGTGCAGGACGCATGCTCCCTGGTCCAGAGCTGGCCCCTGGTGCACACCTGCACCACCGCTCTGCCCTGACGGTCTCGGGTCCCTGCGGAGACAGAGAAGGCAGCTGCCCAGGGGCTTCACTCTGGGAGGTGGCGAGCTGGGTCTGTGCTGGTTGAGTGTGAGATCCGCCCTGACAGACGGCCTGGTGCGTGCTCACCTGGGAGGATGATGACCCCGGACTGCAGCAGCTCCTGGCTGACGTCCAGCACCTGCCTGGGCACCTGGCTGGGGAGGTCCCCCGTGCTGGGCGGCCACACTTCTTGCTCAGGGTGCGGCTGCTGGGCAGGCATGTCGGAAAGCCCTCTGGGCTTGTGGCAGCGGAGGCTGCCGCCATTGGCACTCACGCAGGCTGAGGGCGCAAGAACATCTGGATGAAGGAAAGAGACTTCACCAAAGCTGAAGGTTTTCCTGTGCTTTGAAAGCAACTGCTCATGTTGCTATGAAGCACGGATGAAAACAGGCATGAAAACAGGGGATTCAGTGCCGGTGGGAGGTGGTGTGTCGCAGTGCCCAGGGCAGGTGGCGCCATCACGGAGACGGTCTCCGGTGGGAAGTGAAGGCGTGTCCTGGTGCCCAGGGCACGTGGCGCCATCAGGGAGATTGGTCCCTGGCTCAGACATGCTCACAACCTGCAGGCAGCTCAGCAAAGGCGGATGGTCTCATCCCAGCTCATTTGCTCAAAGTGCGGCGTGCATGACTGCATGTGGTGTGCGATTGTGCGTGGTATGTGGAACTCTGGAGTGTGTGAACATGCGACTGTGTGTGCTGATTGTGGGTGTATGTGTGTAACTCTGGAATGTATGATTGTGTGAGGCACGTGACTGTGTGTGGTGTGCGATTGTCTGTGCGTCTGTGTAACTGGAGTGTGTGACTGAGGCATGTGACTGTGTGCTTGTGTAACGTGTGACTGTGAGGCATGTGATTGCATGTGGTGTGATTGTGTGTGCGTGTAATGAGTGTGTGAGGCGTGTGACTGGTATGATTGTAACTCAAGCGTGTGATTGTGAGGCAGGTGACTGTGTCTTGTGTGTGATTATGTGTAAATTTGGAGTGTGATTGTGTGAGGCATATGACTTTGTGTGGTGTGTGATTGCGTGTATGGAACTGGAGTATGTGATCATGAGGCATGTGACTATGCGGTGTGACTGTGTAACTGGAGTGTGTAATTGTGTGAGGCAGGCAACTGTGTGTGGTGATTGTGTGTAACAAGTGTGTGTGATCGTGAGGCAGGCGACTGTGGTGTGATTGTGTGTGTAACGAGTGTGTGTGATCGTGTGAGGCAGGCGACTGTGGTGTGATTGTGTGTGTAACGAGTGTGTGTGATCGTGTGAGGCAGGCAACTGTGTGTGGTGATTGTGTGTAACAAGTGTGTGTGATCGTGAGGCAGGCGACTGTGGTGTGATTGTGTGTGTAACGAGTGTGTGATCGTGTGAGGCAGGCGACTGTGGTGTGATTGTGCATGTGCAACTGGAGCATGTGATCGTGTGAGGCAGGAGACTGGTATGTGTGTGTGTCTAACGTGTGTGATCGTGAGGCATGTGACTGCCTGCGGTATGTGATTGTGCATGTGTAACTCTGGAGCATGTGATTGTGAGTCAGGCGACTGTGTGCTGTGTTTGTGTGTAACTCTGGAATGTGTGAGGCAGGCGACTGTGTGTTGTGTGATTGTGTGTGCATGTGTAACTGGAGGTTGTGATCATGTGACGCAGGTGACTGTGTGGTATGTGCATGTGTGTATGAGTGTGTGATCCTGAGACGTGACTGCATGTGGTGTGTGATTATGTGTGTGTAACTCTGGAGCGTGTGATTGTGAGGCAGGCGACTGTGTGTGGTGTGTGTGTATAACGTGTGATTGTGAGGCATGTGACTGTGTGGTGTGTGATTGTGTGTAACTGGAGCATGTGATTGTGTGAGGCAGGAGACTGTGCTGTGTGACTGCGTGTAATGAGTGTGTGATTGTGAGGCAGGTGACTGTGTGTGGTTGTGTATTCTGTGTGAGACTGTGAGGGGCGCTGCACAACTGTGTGTGTCTTTTCTGCCCAGTACAAACAGGAAGGAAAATGAACAGAAAGGAAAGGTCAGGGGCTGGAAACATGGCCAAGGAGTTATGACTCTGGTTGACTCGCAGTGAGGTGACAGGAGGCTTTCAGGAAGTGTTACCCCAGTGAGTACTTTTGTTACAAAGCTCTTTCTGCAGCAAGTTCGGTGCCTGCTGCAGTCTCAGGGCCTGCCCGGAGCTCCAGGCACAGCAGCCTGACTGCGAAGGTGAAAGGCCCCTGTGGAGGTGTCTGGAACGGGCCGGACCACAGTTCTGTCTCCAAGGGCCCTTGGTGCCATTGCCTCCAAGCTCCTGGTCAGGCCCAGCAGGTAGGATGGGTGGGAAGGGGAGCAGGTGTGGCTGTCTCCGGGTACCGCAGGTGGGGACCATGGAGAGGAGGGCTCAGCCCCTCACTTCACTGGGCTTGGGGGGCCCTATTTTCTGCAGCCTGCACCAGCATTTCACATTTTTCCCTTCTTTCCAAAGTCACTGGCTGTGTTACTCACAGGATATTTCTTTACTCAAATATATATATATATATATATATTTTAAATATTTAAGATATATTTAAAATATTTAAGAAATACGTTGTCATTCTTTTTTTACTTTATGCCCGGCAAACAGTCTTTTTAATAGTCACATTTTTGCTGGACGCAGTGGCTTACACCTGTAATCCCAGCACTTTGGAAGGATGAGGTGGGTGGATGAAGAGGTCAGGAGATCGAGACCATCCTGGCCAACATGGAGAAACCCCATCTCTACTAAAAAAACAAACAAACAAAAATTAGCTGGGCATGGTGATCCATGCCTGTAATCCCAGCTACTCAGGAGGCTGAGGCAGGAGAATCTCTTGAACCAGGGAGTTGGAGGTTGCAGTGAGCCAAGATTGCATCAGTGCACTCCAGCCTGACAACAGAGTGAGACTCTGTCTCAAAAATAATGATAATAAAAATCATAAATAAAAAAAGAGTCACATTTTTCTCTCCTAACCCTCAGAAACTGTGGATGTGGCCTCCAGCTGGACACTGAGTCTAAGGATCTGGATGTGAGGCTGTCCTGGGTTTAGAGGTCCCTGAGTCCAGTGATGGGTGCCCTTCCAAGAGAAAGGAGGGAGAGTCAAGTCACAGGGGTGCTGGGGAGGGGACCACCGAGGACGGTCAGAGTGCTGCAGCCACAGCCCAGCTTGCCTGTAGCCCCAGAACTGGAAGAGGTGGGATGGGTGCCCCCAGCCTCGGAGGGAGCACACCCCACAGCTTGATGCTGAACTTCTGGTCTCCAGAATGCGAGCGCGGATATGAGCAGGAAGACAGGCTTCTTGTGGATGAAGTGACCAAATGAAATTGTGATGGGTGGGAGGGGGACAGTGCAGGGGGAGGTTATGGGGTGCGCAGGGGTGGGAGGGGGACAGTGCAGGGAGAGGTTATGGGGTGCGCAGGGGTGGGAGGGGGACAGGGCGGGGGGAGGTTATAGGTGTGCGCAGGGGTGGGAGGGGGACAGTGTAGGGGGAGGTTATGGGGTGCGCAGGGGTGGGAGGGGGACAGTGTAGGGGGAGGTTATGGGGTGCGCAGGGGTGGGAGGGGGACAGGGCGGGGGGAGGTTATAGGTGTGTGCTGGGGTGGGAGGGGACAGTGCAGGGGGAGGTTATGGGGTGCACAGGGGTGGGAGAGGACAGTGCAGGGGGAGGTTATGGGGTACGCAGGGGTGGGAGGTGGACAGTGTGGGGGGAGATTGTGGGGTGTGCAGGGGTGAAAGGGAATACAGTGTGGGGAGTGGTTATGGGGTATGCAGGGGTGGGAGGGGTATAGTGCTGGGGGAAGTTATGGGGGTGTGCAGGGGTGGGAGGGGACAGTATGGGAAGATTGTGGGGTGTGCAGGGGTGGGAGGGAGATGGTGCGGTGGGAGGTTATGGGGTGTGCAACGGTGGGAGAGGGACTGTGGGGGGAGGTTATGGGAGTGTGCAGTGGAGGGGTGCCGGGGAGGTGTTGGGGAGCATTTACCTTCCTCTTTGGTGCAGCCAGGACCCTCTACTGAAACACAGTTTGGGGTTCCCACAGCTTGTCCTCCTAGGTGGCCCCCAGGCCTGGCGCAGGCTGAGTGGTGGGAGGTATGGCAGGCTGCAGACTGGGCCCCCCCAGAGCTTCTGGGCATCCTCTCCCGGGACCGAGACCTCCTGGGAAGGGTCCGCCCTGAGACTCCCGGTCCTGCCTGGCTGGGCATGCGCCTCTCCTTCTCTAGACTTGGGGTCTGCTGGGCATCTCCCCGGAAGCCAGGGGTTTCCTCCGGGGTCCCAGTGGCCGCTGCCCCAGCCTCCAGGTCCCTGCCGGCTCCAGTCAGGGGGCTGCGGCCCGAGTCCCCGAGGGTCTCCTCAGAGCTGCCCAAGGGCATGGGGTTCCGCAGCGCCTCCATGTATGACTCCCTGAACCAGCGTCGGGACTGCAGGCAAGTGGGGTCCCCGGGCGGCCGCCGCCTGCTGCTTGGGCTGCCCGGGTCTGTGTATAAGGTGAGGGCCGTGGGGCCGTCCTCCTTGTCCAGGGGGTCGGGTCTCCTTCCCGGCCCCCCACAGTTCTCAGGGGGCATCTGTGGGCCCAACTCTGAGTGGCTGACCTTGACGAAGTCCCTGTCTGAGCTTCTAGATGGTGTCCTGGGGCTTCCCAGCTCCGCTCTTTCTGGGTAAGGAAGGTGCCTGGGCTGGTCACCACCCATATGCCGATGGCAGTAGTGGGGGGTCAGCGTGTCGGGGGAAGGGGTGTTTCCCTGGAAATGGGGGCTTGCCATGGCTTGGGTGGGCACTGAGCTCTCCGAGGGGCTGCTGGGCAGGATGGCTCCAGAGCTGGGGACCAAGACAGGGTCAGTGACGTCGCTCCAGGGGGCTCGGTGGACGGCCAAGCCTGAGGTCAGCAAGCAGGTTTGCAAGGGGACGTGGCTCTGCTTGAGGTTCACCCACTCCAGGAACGCCCCCGAGAAGACGCAGCCATACATGGCCTCAGGGATGGTGACCTCTTCTGTGCCGCTTCCCAGCCGGGAGAGGCATTTTAAGACCAGTCTAGCTGAATGCTTTCCCGCCGACGTGATCTGCAGGTAGAATTCCCCGGGCTGGAGTGTGACTCCGTGCAGGGACGCCAGCTGCACTACCACCTTCTCCTGGATGCACAGCGGCCAGCCTGGGTGCAGGAAGACCAGGCCTCTGTACCTGGCCTGAGATGAGAGAGGAAGGAGGTTAGTGGTGGGCACAGCCACGGCCTGGGCCTCTCAGTGCTCTGGGTCTCCACCCCTCAGGGGAAGGCCAGTGACTGAGCTCTCACAAGGAAGGGGTTTCATGCGGGCTGGGGTGCCCCATCCCTTGGAACATTAAACAGGTCATCCAGACTAGAAAATATGGGTTTCCCCCTTTGGTTCAGGGGTCAGTCAAAAAAGCAATTGTATAGGTCTTCCCGTATAGTTGAGAGTAGGTGGGCAGGAGAGGGGAGAGGAGGCCGCTTGAGGGCACAGGCACAGCCCACCAGGTGCTCGGAAGGGTGAGTTGTCCCTCAGAGTGGTCCAGCCTGGGCAAGGGCTGGGCGTCCACCCTTGCTGCTTAGCCCTGTTCAGGGCCACCCGATGGGGGCTCCCTCCTTTGCACTCCCAGAGTTCCCGTGGCTCCCCGAGGCTGCAGGCGCTGCCTCAGCGAGGGGTGCAGGTGCCCCATGCTGGTGAATTTCACTTGAGTGTTTTCTCTGTTCCCTTTGAAGAGCTGACATCCGGCCCCATTCACAACTGTGTACTTTGACTATTTTCACCCAAATGATTTCATTAGCATTTCCTGTGCTATTAGAAACTGCAAACAGATCACTTAATTGTTGGGTATTTATTTTCCCCAAATTTTGCTCTGATAAACTAAAATACAATAAATGTCTGGGGGGCTAGAGCCCCGCCTGGGTTTCAGCTGCTCCTGCAGAATCTCATACCATGTTCAAGTCCAAACCTATCATGTTTTCACTGGTAACAAACATGCCTTAGGTGTTTGTTCTCAAGCACGAGGCTACATCTTGCCTCACGCACTCATTCTCAGCTCAGCCTTACTCTGCCGGCCTCAGGGATGCAGATGGAAATAAAAATGCGCCAAAAACTTAACAGTGCATTTGCCACTGAAAGAGACACATATTCAGATGGTGAAATGTTATTCTCAAAAGTCCTTAGCCCGAGCCCAGTTTTTGATGGGATTTTTTTTTTGTTGTTGATTTGTTTGAGTTCCTTGTAGATTCTGGATATTAGGCAGGAGAAAAAGATAAAGGGCAGGCAAATCAGTACAAAGGAAGTCAAAATGTTGCTTTTTGCTAACGATAGTCATATATATAGAACACTCTAAAGATTCATCCAAAAGGCTCCTAGAACTGGCAAATGAATTCAGCAAAGTTTCAGGAAACAACATTAATGTACATAAATCATTGTTGGTAGATACCAACAATGACCAAGCTAAGAATCAAATTAAGAACTCAACCCCTTTTAAAATAGCTGCAAAAAAATTAAAATACTTAGGAATATACCTAAGTATTTTTCACCAAGGAGGTGAAAGGAAAACTACAAAACACCACTGAAAGAAATCACAGATGACACCAACACATGGAAACACATCCCATGTTCATGGATGGGTAGAACCAATATTGTGAAAATGAAAACAAGGAAAACTACAAAACACCACTGAAAGAAATCACAGATGACACCAACACATGGAAACACATCCCATGTTCATGGATGGGTAGAACCAATATTGTGATAATGAAAACAAGGAAAACTACAAAACACTGCTGAAAGAAATCACAGATGACACCAACACATGGAAACACACCCCATGTTCATGGATGGGTAGAACCAATATTGTGAAAATGACCATACTGCCTAAAGCAATCTACAAATTCAATGCAATTCCCATTAAAATGCCACCATGATTACTGACAGAACTAGAAAAAAACACTCCTAAATTCACATGGAACCAAAAAAGACCCCACACAGCCAAAGCAAAACTAAGCAAAAAGAACAAATCTGGGGTATCACGTCACCCGAATTCAAAGTATACTAGAAGGCCAGAGTCACCAAAACAGCACGGTACTGGTATAAAAATACACTTATAGACCAATGGAACAGAACAGAGAACCCAGAAATAAACCCAAATACTTACAGCCAACTGATCTTCCACAAAGCAAACAAAAATGTAAAGTGAGGAACAACACCCTGTCCAACAAACGGTGCTGGGATAGTTCACAAGCCACATGCAGAGAATAAAACTGGATCCTCGTCTCTCACTTTATGCGAAAATCAACTCAAGATGGATTAAAGACTTAAATCTAAGACCTGAAACCATAAAAATTCTAAAAGATAATATCAGAAAAAACCTTTCTAGACATTGGCTCAGGCAAAAACTTCATGACCAAGAACCCAAAAGCAAATGCAACAAAAACAAAGATACACAGATGGGCCTTTATTAAATTAAAAAGCTTGTGCACAACAAAATAAATAATCAGCAGATGACCCACAGGGTACAAGAGAATCTTTGCAATCTATCCATCCAACAAAGGACTAATAGCTAAACTTTTAATAAAACCTTTAGGGTTTTCCACATATAAGATCATGTCATCTACAAACTGATAATTTTACTTCTTAATTTCCAGTTCAGATGCCTTTTACTTTTTTTTTTCCCTTGGGTAACCACTCTAGGAAGAACTTCAAATACCACGAAAGTGGGCATGTCTTGTTTTTGGTTATACTGCAGCGACAGCAATTGATGAGCACCCTGAAACATGGGTACCAAGTACCGATATTTTAGGAGTTTTTATGTTAGGTTTAATGATAGAGGTAACCACGGTATTTTTATTAGGCGGTGATCCTAATAAAACGGTAGAGGTTACTGTTAACTATAAAACTGTGGCAAGTTGAATAATTTATGAAGGTGAGGGGCCAGGGCTGATTTGTGAAGATCCTATGGGTGCTGCTGCTTTATATAATTACGGTGTTTGAGTTGTTTTAGTCATTTGTTGGGTGTTATTTATGGGAATACATGTTACAATCGAGCTTACTTGGGGTGGGGGTTAAATAGGAGTAGTGCCAGCATGGGTGGAATAAAGAAGGATAAAAAATAGAGCTTGATTAGGCCTTTTGAGTTGATGAGGTTGTGGAGATTGAAACTTGAGTTTGTGTTGTTATTTCTGGTATGGACTTTTCTAGTCAGAATAGGTCTAGTAAGGTTGAGGTAAAGTTCTGGCTTGTGGTTAAGCTTGAATGGGGGTTAAATCGACGTGTAGTGGTTGAGTAAAAGCCTAGTATGTTAGAGAAGTAGAAGGTTTTTAATGGGGTGCTTAGTTTTCTATTGTTAGTTATTAAATTCAGTTCTATTGCTAGAAGAAGTCCTAATACAGTTACACCTAACGCTGCACATTCAAGGTAATGTGCTACAGTGACTTGGGGGTGTGAAGCCCGAGGAACACAATTGGAAATAAGAAACCCGGCGAAAATGCTACCCACTGCTAGGCGACTGAGTGATCTTATTAATAAGGGGTTATTTTCATTAATTAAGATAAGAGTTGTGAAGCGAGGGTGTCCCGTTAAAGTGAAGAAAATAATGTGGATACTGTATATAGCCGTGGCTACAAGAGTAGTCGTAAGGGCTCGGGTGTTGGTATACCACGCGTTGGCGGTCTCAGTGATCAGGTCTTTTGAGTGACGCTGGTGAGGAAAGGTACCCCTGTAAGTGCGAGCTGCCGATAACGAGGCAGGAAGATAAGCAGGGTAAAGTTTTAAGTAGGCCTCCTATTTTGCGGATATCTTGCTCGTTGTTTAGGCTGTGGATGATAGACCCTACAGACAGAAATAGCATGGCTTTGAAGAAAGTGTGGGTGCAGATGTGAAGGAAGGCTAGATGTGGTTGGTTCATACCGATGGTTACTATTATGAGGCCTAGTTGGCTCGAGGTTGAAAAGGCTACGATCTTTTTTAAATCATCTTGTGTTAGAGCACAGACTGCTGTGAATAGAGTGGTAATAGCACCTAATGATAGAATGAGTGAATAAGAAAATTCCTGCAATAACTATTGTGCTGGAGTGAAGAAATGCTGAAACTGGCGTGTCCTTCTACAGCGGAGGGAAGTCATGGGTGGAGACCAAATTGGGCTGATTGTCCTGTTGCTGCCAAGAGGAGGCTTATTAGGGGAAAAGAGTTTGGGGTGGAGTTAAGAATAAATATTTGTTGAAAATCCCATGAGTTGGAGTATAGGAAGAATCATGCCGTTGCTAAAATAAAGCCGGTATCTCCAATGCGGCTGTAGGATTGCTCGTAGGGCTGCTGTGTTGGTGTCTGTTCGGCCGTGTCATCAGCTAATCAGTAGAAAGGATATAATGCCTATTCCTTCTCACCCAATAAAACGTTGAAGTAGACTGTTAGCGGTAATTAGAATTAGTATTGTGATGAGGAAATTAAGTAGGTATTTGAGAAATTGATTGTTTGAATACATAATCAATTTGTATTATGTATCATATTGAAAATTCTACAATTGATCAGGTAACAAAGAGTGCTATGGGGGTGAGTATTATGGAGAAGAAATCTAGTTTAAAATTGAGTGATAATTTAAGAGTTTGAGTTGTTCGTCAATGTCAGTTTGAGATTACTGATTCTTGGCCTGTAATGATGAACATTGTTATGGACAGGACGCTGGTGCTAAAGGCATACATAATAGCTAACTTTACATAACGTGGGTATGGAAGGCTTTTGTGTAGATTGATTAGGGTAATTATTGTGGGTGCTAGTAATGGAATTATTACAATTATGGAGGAGTATTTTTACTTTTATTTGGAGTTGCACCAGTATTTTTGGCTCCTAAGACCAATGGATAACTGCCATCCTTTAAAAGTTGAGAAAGCCAAGTCGTTAAGCTTGGGGGCATGAATTAGCAGCTCTTGCATGCTTTCTCGGTAGTTAAGAAGTTATGGGCTTCTATTATTACATTCACAATCTAATGTTTTTATTAAACTATAACTACAGGGTGTCAATCCTATGGTCACCTTGGGGTTTAGGGTGAGGAGGAGGATTGGTGCCATGTGTATTAGTATTAGTGTATTTTCGCGTGTCAATAGGGGTTTTACATTACTAGTGCTATATGTTAATGGCCCTCGCTGTGTTGAAGCAAACAGATGGAGTGAGTATAGGGCTGTAATTAGTATACTGTAAAT